AGAGAAATAAAGGTTGAATGTCTGGGGCAGCGGAGGACCATCAGTGTCTGCTTTCCTGGAGAGTGGTCCCACCCTCTGCCCACTTGGTGTCTGCCTGGGCCCCACCATCGGCACCCACCCCCATCCCGGGAAACATGAGCAAAGGCGGGGCTCCCGCATCACCAGCCAGGGGTCATGGTCTTCCTCTGAGACAAGGCTGAGGAGAGGTGCTGATTCAGAGGGACAGCACTCGACAGTTTGTGAATGTGTTCAAAGCCTGTTATGCATATTACAGTTCACATGTCACCATTGAGGAAACAGGCTGGGAGGGGTTCCTGACTTGGCCTGGGGCAGGGCGGGTCCTAGAGCCTGAATGTCAGGGGCCCCTTGCACCCACAGAGGGGCCCATAGCCCTGGTTGTTCTGTGGCTCCTGTGTCTCCCTGAGGTTTCTCTCTTGCTCCTGTCTCTCCCCTCCTCAAACCCCAGGATACCATCCACCTCTTGTCCTTCCAGGCCCAGCTCAAATGCACGTCCTGAGGCTTCCCTCAGCTCACCTTGTCCAGGGGCCTTTGCGACACTGCCAAGATGAATTCCTGACTTGCCCAGGTGGCCCTGCCCTCTGGGAGCCAGGGCTCTGGGGATGGAATAGCCACGTCCCCCTATCTCATTTCCTTTGAAGGGAAGACCTGCTCATGAGGCTCCTCTATCTAATCCTCTCCCCAGCTGCCCTGGGAAGGGGACTCAGGCCTGCCCACAGGGCCAGAGCCAGGGACCAACCACATAATTTGTGGGGTTCAGTGCAAAATGAAAATGTTGAGCTCTTTGTTCAAAAGTTAAGAATTTCTTAACAGTGACAGCAGAGCGCTAAACCAAGTGCAGGGCCTCGGAGCGCAGGGCCCTGTGCAGTCGGCAGGTCACACATGCATGAAGCCAGTCGTGACCAGAGGAGACAGGACCGACTCTTAGGAGCTCCCAGGTTTTATTTGGGGAGGGGCGTCAGGTTTGGGCACACAGCTCACCGTGGGAGCCAGGGATGGGCAGAGGGATGTCCCTTCTACAAGGTCCAGCTATAAGAGCTGTCACATCACAGAACCTTTTCCTGCCCCTCATCTCCCAGGGTCCTCAACCAGCTCCAGGAGACGGGACAGGCAGGGGTTAGGGCTCCAGTTTACAGATGAAGGGCCTGAAGCCCTCTGAGAGTCTGACCGTCTAGCTGGCCTCCTGGTGGGCAGGCAGGGTGTGGCACTAAGTTGGGCCTGGGGGCTTGAGTAGGAGGTCACCGGGCTCCAGTGCTCCCAGCAGCCCCTGGGGCTCATGGCCAGGCCTGTTTGGCCTCCACCCCTACCCGGGCCTGCCCAAGTCCAGCCTTGTCCGGCCCACAGCATGGGGCCCTACAGGCCAAGATGGGGCTGCCAAGGTAAACAGCGGTTTCCTACCTCACGGCCGCTCGCCCTGGAGGGAATTCCGGGGCAAGCCCGGCACACTTCTCACCGGCTAGGGGATGGCGGCTGCCAAAATGCTCACAGCCTCCCCTGTCCCCTCCAGAGGCCAGGCCTATGCTCCCCATGCTGCACTCCTCACAGGGGTAGGAGGGATCCTGTTGGGGCTGCACTGGGAGACATGGAGGAGTAAAAACAGAAAATGAAGACATACGTCCACACAGACCTGAACCTCAGTGTCCGTAGCAGCTATATCCATTGTAGCCCCAAAATGAAAGCAGCCCAAATGTCCATCCGCAGGGGAAGGATGAACAAGCTGTGGCGTGTGCATACAACAGAATACTCTCAGCAATAAAGAGGAGCATGCTGCATATGCAGCAGCATGGATAAGGCTTAACATTCTTGTGCTAAGTAAATAAAGCCAGACCCAGAAAGAGCTCAAACCACATGATGCCACCTTCATGTTTTGGAAAAGGCAAAATGAGCTTGTAGTGACAAAGCAGATGGGTGATTGCTTGGGGTGGGGCGCGAGGGGTTTGGGAAGAGATTGACAGCAAAGAGACAAGAGGGAACATTCCAGAGTGATGGATTGGATTGCAGGTGGTTACATGCATTTGTCAAAACTCGTCAAACTGTGTGCCTAAAATGGGTACATTTTATTGTATGTAATTATACCTCCATGCAGTTTGATTTAGACAAAGAGAAAAAGCGGTGGGAGCCAGAGGAGGTGGTGGGCATGTGGCTGCCAAGTGGGGGCAGCAGTTTAAGCATCATCGCGAGGCAGGGAGGTGACGAGCCTCCCAAGCAGGTGCCCCGTGTTTGAGGGGCAGGGCCTAGGCCAGGCCCATGGAGTCCCCAGATTCCAGAGGCAGGAAGAGGCTGGGGACCAACAGAAATGGCCCCAAAGGATGGGGGAGAACCAGGGGAGAGATGCCTCGGACACTTGGAGGGTTGTGGCCCATAGTAGCATGGGTGGATAGAACGGCTGGAGAAGCAGCGTGAGGTCCAGGCAGTGGGGAGAAGCCAACCCTGGGGACCCCTGCTGCGACCTCCACATGGACGCGTGCCGCCCCCCCGCCCTTGACCGTCTCTGTCAGGCTGGCCTAGGGCCCTGTTCCAGCCGGCGCCTGAGGGCTACTTGGCGCTGGTGAGTCCCTAGACACCAGGGAGGCCCAGATCGTGTGCGAGTTGGACTGACCTCTGCGGGCACAGGTGTGACCCCTGCAGCTTTGGGACTCTGAGCAGGCAAGGAGACCCAATGGAGCCTGTGCCGACCCCCTTGAGGGCTCGGGCTGGCCTCCAGGATGGGCAAGGGCCTTTCCATGCTTCACAGAGCGGCTAAATTTAGCCAGGCAGGGGCGGCCGTCCTGGGCCGAGCGTTTGGCAGCACAGCCTTGTCTCCCTACAAGGCCCGGCCTGGTGCCCGAGCCGGCCGCCCAGCCTTTGGGCTTATAAGGCAGGCCTGGCGGCTCGCAAGTGCTGGAGTCTCGGGGTGGGCTCTGGGCCAAGCTCTCAGACTTTGGGGAGCCTCCTTTCCAGCCACCAGCAGACACGGGAGCTACTTCTTGTATGACCTTGGGCAAGGTCACAGAGCCTCAGCTTCCTTATCTGTAAAATGGGGATGCTAGTCTCTACCTCAGAGGGCCGAGTTCCAGCGTGTGGAAGCGCTGCATCTCCCGTAAACTCTGAGCCCTGCCCTGCTCACCCCTGCCCCCGAAATGCCTAGAGCAAACACAAGTGTCTGTCCCTGGGAAGCTGGAGTCGGGGCCCAGGGGGGCAATGCGTAGGCCTCAGAAGGAAAGATGCAAGCTAGAACCAGTGAAAGGGACAGTGTCCCTGTCAGCTGCCTGTCGTAGTCTTGCAGAGTTACTCGCAAGAAACGGAATTTGGGAAGAGAAATGTGATTGCTTTTATTTCTCTTCCTTTGGGGCACGCTTTGGAGATGATAACATCCCGAATGAGACAGTCCTCCGTGCCAGTCTGTTTTCTGAGCGTTAGGGTCAGAATTGAGACTGTAACAGGAGCACATGTGTGTGCTCCAAGCAAGTCTGTCTGTCCATTGGTCCATCTGCCCTTCAGCAAGCCTGGCTCCTTGGAGGAGAAGAGAGGAGCAGGAGGAGCACACGGTGATGATGTGAAAGGGACAGACGCAGATTGGAAAGTGGCTGCCTGACTTCTTTCCCTCTCTCCCTCTTTCCTTCCATCCCTTCCTTTCCCCCTCCCCCCTCCCCTCCTCATTTAGTGCCTGCCGCCCCACTGAGTGTCCCCTCCTGAGTGTCTGGAGAAGGGCAGGTAGAGTAGGACACAGAGATGGCTCAGACGCAGTGTCAGCATCCACCCCAGTCCCCAGCACAAGCAGTTCATGGCCCGGGGCCTGCTATTCCAAGGGCCATGGGGTCAGCTGGGAAGTGGACAGGCCTTTTTGTCTGAGGTCAAGACCAGGCCAAGGGGATGTGGCCACCACAGCTCTGGCTGCTAGCAGCTCTTGAGTTTTTCCTTAGAAAAGACAGCTCCTCTTAAAGGTGGCGAAACAGTGGAGCCTGAGATTGGTGGGAACTCTGCATGGGGTAAGGCTGATCTGTTTGATGGGGGGATTGGCTGGGGTGCTTGAGGGGGCCGTGGGCCTGCCATCTGTGGGGGCCTCTTGCTGTCCAGCCCGGGGCCTGGCTCCCTGCCCAGAGCGATTTCCCAGCTAAGGGCCTGTCAGGAAGAAGACTCCGATCAGCCTTCGGGGCGCAGCGACTTGGACTGAGCAGGAGGTGTGGGCTCCGAGGACGCCCAGCCTCCACCTCCCACCTCCAGAGGGAACCCCGAGGACACCCAGCCTGGGCTGAGACCCAGCCTGGGCTGAGGCCCGGCCAGGCAGGCCTTCCTGCTTCAAACCGGGGCCTTCAGGACCACCCAGGGTGAGCTTGGGCAACCCATTTCCCCTTTTTGAGCTCCAGTTTCTTCACCAGCAAACGAAGCAGGGGGTTGGGGGAGGCCTCTGGCTCTGGTGCTTGGAGAGCTAACACAGGACCCCTGCCCTGCCCAGGCCCTGGGGACCCTGCATTCAGGGCCTGGGTTGAGGTTGAGGACAGGGGCTGCAGGGGGCTGTACTCCAGGATCAGGAGTGGGCTCAAGTTCTCTGTCTTCAGCATTGTCGGGACCCACCCCCCAGGGGCCTCTACCTCTGAGGAAAGTCCCCTTATCGTCCTCATTTCTCAGATGAGGAAGCGGCCCCGGAGAGCTGAGGCACTTACCCAAGCCCCGTGGGCAGCAAGTGGCAGAGCCAGGGATGGTGACCGAGGTGGGCTCCTGTCAGGCTTTCTTGCTGGGTCTCGGGGAACCCGATGACACTGTGTAACAGAGGTGGCCCTTACCTTGTCTGGGCACCTGCATCCCTCTGCACATTTCAGGCAAGTGGAGGTATGACTGGGGCAGGACAGATCGGGGGAGAGGGGGGATGGGGGGATGGAGACGCCAGCCAGACATGGAGATTGATAGGGCACAGGTCGGAGATGAGTGGATGGAAGGTCGTCTACAAGGTGGGGTGGGGGGGGGTCCTGCTGTGGGCTCGGGCTCCTTTCTCTTCTGTCCTCCAGGCTGCAGGCCCCCAGGGGCTGTGCTCCCCACCTGAGGATGGAGGTAGGGTGGGGAGAATGTTTGGATATGGGGATGTGTCCCTGGTTTTGGGAGGGCTCCGGCCTGAGGCCACTCCACCCAGGCCCTGGCCCGAGCCCCCAGCCCTGTTCTACCAGGTTCGTGGGGGGGCTGACAGCTTTATCTTTGCGTTGTGATGAGTGGCCCATGTGGTTTCCTGCCAACAGCTCCTGTTTCCGGAGGCCCAGCACAGCCCAGGCGGAGCCAGGAGGGGCAGAGGGGCTGGGCCTGGGTGGCCGCACCAGCCCCGCCTCCATCTATCTTTGGGAATTTATTTGTCCACAGGCTCCGCTGGCCCACAGTTCATTGCCTGCCAGGGGCCAAAGCTGCTCTGACCACCAAGGATTCTCCCTCCCATCCCAAGCGCCTCCACTGACCTCTGACTTTTGACCTCTGGCCCCGACTGCCTTGCCCTTCCTAGAAGCTCTGCTGTAGACGTGGGTATTGACGCCTGGCTCCCCTCGAGAGCAAAGGCTGTGCAGGGGGCTCAGTTCTCAGCCCCCCAAGCTGGCCCACCATGGCACGGCGCCTCCAGGATGAGCTAGCCTCCTTCTTCTTTGAGTACGACACGCCTCGAATGGTGCTGGTTCGCAACAAGAAGGTGGGCGTCGTCTTCCGCCTGATCCAGCTCGTGGTTCTGGTCTACGTCATTGGGTGAGTCTGGGTCCCCTCCCTGCCGCCCTCTTGTACCAGCCCCCAACCTGGGCCTGTCCTCCAGGCTCTGGGATGCCCCCCATGCCCCCAGAGAGCCCCTCTTTGTCTTCATCCGTTGTCGTCCTTCCTGAAAACCACGTGCTAACTCACAGTCAAGATGGGGACACTGAGGCAGAGAGGGGAAGCCCTGCACTGGGCCATCTGGTGAACCGGAGGCAAACCTCTTGCGTTCTGAGGAACCGACTGACTGTTAACAGTTGCAAGTGGTGAGTGAGTTGGAGGCCATGGCCCCAGCGAACACAGCCAGGGTCCGTCCACCTGTGACCTCCCAGCCAAACCAGGCTACCAAGAAGTGGAGGCCACATCCCATTTTATAGGCCCTGCTCCCACCTGCTCTGCCTAAATTAGAGGCACCCTGGGACATTTGAGATCCCCAGAGCAGAGAAACCCTCAAATTTGGAACCCCTGGTGCCTTAATGGTGGTGTGTCAGGCAGAGGTTGGAGGTCAGTTCCGGTCCCAGGGATGACAGCTTCTTTCTGGCATCTTGGGACCTGTCCCACTGTCCCAAGAATGCCGAGGCAGAAGTAGTGTGGGATTCCCTTGCAATCTGTCTGTGCTGGGGACCGTGTAAAGGCCGTCTCCCTGAAATCAGTCTAGCTGTCCTGGGAGCCGAGACAAGCCTGGCAGGGGCTTGCACGCGTGCATGCTTGTGTGAGCACGTGTGTGTGTGTGTGGATGTGTGTGTACCCGAAGCTCTGTGTGGGTGCGCGTGCCCTCATGCATCTGGATGTGTGACCAGTGGTTGTGGCTGCTGGGTGTGTCCCTACGCTGGGTGCCCACATGTGCATTCCCTGTGGCTGAAGTGGCTGCGTACCTGATGCATGTGCCTGTTGCGGGGGGCGCCTCATGCCCACTCACAGTGACTGCAGAGGGCTCCTGGAGGCCCCAGGGCCACTGAAGGGGTTCAGCCCTTGCTGGGGGTTGAGGGGCACCTGGCAGCCCTGGTCTGACTTTACTATGTGATTCTAAGGGCCCTGCCCCTCTGGTCTCCATGTCCTCATTTTTGCCGTGGGACCAAACCAGGACTCTGACTGGCACCCAGGGCAGGCTGACCAAGAGGCCAGATAGTGACCACATAGTCCTGCTCTCCCCAGGGCTTCTGGCATCCAAAACAGCCTTTCCTCGGCCCCACCTGGCTGCCAAGGCCTCAGAGCTGGTCAGGAGGACTCAGCCCTCTGACACCTTGTGGCCTCTGCCTCCCTCCTGTTCACAAACCAGTTTGACATCTGCAATGTTATTTGAGCTTGTGAGGGAAACTGAAGTGCAGAGAGGAGCCATGGGGTTTCTAGGTCACACAGCAAGTTCCAGTTAGAACTGAGGCCTCCTGACCCCCAGGCCTTGGCTCTGCCTCTCCTTTCCCACCTCATGAGGGCTCTGAGAACCTTTCTAATGGAACACTGATGGTGTGACACCAGGCACAGGACAGGCCTAAAAGTCCACCACTCGCTGCCCTCTGGACCTGCCAGGGGAGAGAGAGGCTGCCTGCCAAGGCACAGCCCGACCCTTGCCCAAAGAGGCTGGGAGAGTGTTGTCCTCACTGAGACCTAGGGCTCCCTATTTCTGCTGACCGGTCAGCACTGGCAGCAGCATCAGTGCCCTCTTAGGTGCTGGCCATAGACTGTCAGAAGGAAAGGCCAGTCTTCTCATCCCACTCCAGCTGCAGCACACACCCTGAGCCACCATCCAGTCCTGAACACATACCTCCAGTGATGGAGACCTCATTACATCTTTCCTTCCCCGCCTCCCTCCCAAGACAGTCTACTCAGTGTCCAAATGGATGTGGCCTTCTAAGCATCTATGAGGCTCAGAGACGCTGAGTGATTTCGCCTGGATCTCACAGCTAGACAGAGGCTGAACCAGGATTTGAATCGAGCTGTGTGGCTCCGAAGTCAGCCTTGATATCCTGGAAGGGAAACGTCCTCAGAGAGGGGCACTGACTTGCCCAGTCACATAGCAGAGGGAGGAAGGCAGGGTCCCTGGCAATACCCCCAGCTCCACCCTCAAGCGCAAGCTTCTGGCTCTGGCTTGGGCTGGGACTCTTGCTGTCTCTGGTGCCCTCGTCTGGCCACTGCCCATGGCTGCACTGCCCGTCAGGCAGGAGCCCACAGCTGCCGAGCAAAACCACCCTGGACTTGGTCTTGCTTTCTCAGGCCTCGGTTTCCCAACTGTTCCACGGGGCAGGGGTGGACGGGACCCCAGAGACAGGGGCACAGCCCAGACGGGGGAGGGGCAGACACAGAGACAGAGTAGGACAGAGGGACAGACGTTGGAGCCCAACCTCTCAGATGGAGGGAAAGACGCTGAGACTTTGAGGTGGAGAGTTACTGGACAGAGGCAAGGAGGCTGAGCTGCTGACAACCCAAATGGACTCGGAGGGGGGAAACTGAGGCTGTGTTCTCTCTTGGTCACACTCTCCCAGGAAGTCCAGGGCAAGTGGAGGGAGTGGGTGGGCCACCCTGGTGGGATGAGCTAAGGCTGAGCTCTTTTTGGCTCAAATTAAAGTGGTTAATCTGCAGTTAGAGCTGTCTCCTGGGAGGCGATGAGCTCTCTGTGACTGGAGGTCTGCAGGCAGTGGGCTGTCATCCGTGACCTAGCAGGCCCCTACAAGGGACATGTCCTGGGAGATGTCCCTCCCTGGAGGGGTCTGTTCGGGTGAGGAGAGAGGACTGGCTGTAGCACATGGGAGGGTCCCAAGGGGATCTGTGAATGCTGCTTGGGAAGGAGAGCCTGGGAAGACTTCCTGGAGGAGGTGACACAGTAGTGGAACCTGCCTTGAACAAAGGCCTGGGGGCTGTAGGCCAGGCAGCCCTGCTCTTGGCTTTCCCTTAGGCCCCCCTGAACACCCCCCACCGCTACAGAGCTCTTGAAATCACCTGCTCCTGAGATTTCCAAATGGATCCTGGAGCACAGCAATCAAGGATAAGGATAGATACAAATTATTGCTGGGAGAAATGCGTCCCAGGACATCTCTACTGCATCGTCTCTGTGCCTAGTGCTGTGGCAGGCTCCATGGAACCGACGTGGGGTACAGAGTGGGCAGAGGGAGAGGGAGGAGCTGAGGATGAATCGGCCAGAGCTCCTTTGATTGGTTGCTAGTGAAGAGAAGAGCTATTGATTAGTTTATGTAACTGAAAAGTCAGTGCAGGCTTCAGGACTGGCTGGATCCTCCATGAGGAGGGCACAGGAAGGGCAAGTCCTATGAGGAGATGAGGAGTTCAGGCTGGTCCCATTTCGGTTCTTAGGGAAGCTAGGCATGATCTTCTCCTTTTCTTAGCTCTGCTTTCTTCTGTGTAGGCTTTATCCTCAGGTAGGCTCTCTGTCCTCAGAGTGGCAAAATGGCTACCAGCAGCTCCCGGCTGACATCCCACCAGCTTAGCCACCCCCTGGGCCCATGAGTGTCTGCTTCTCCCGAGTTCCAGCAGAAGTCCCAGGTCCAGCTCTTACCAGATGGGGTTAGGTCACGTGCCCATCCCAGAACCAATCATCGTGGCCAAGGAAAGGGAATGCCCTCATTGGTGGAGCCTGGTTGTATGTTCCCACTGTTCCAGGCACTCCTGCTGGAAAGCAGAGTGTGATCAAAGGTCCTGGGGCAGGGAAGGAACAGCAAGAGAACAGCTAGGGAACATGAAAGGAGCGAAGGGAGAGGAGGTGGGGGGGGGGGTGAGCAGGGCCACCAGCTCAGGCCTCTGAATGCCAAGCTGTGGAACGTGGGCTCTCTCCTGCAGAAAGTGTGGAGCCATGGGAGGGTGTCTAGCAAGGAAAGGCCTGGGCCAGGCAGACACTGGAATGGGGCTGGAGGCCATAGGTAGAACAGCCTCGAAGAGGCAGCAGTGACAAGAGGAGAGGATGAGGCCGCGCTGAGGCAGAAGCAGTGAGCATGGAAGACTGAGATGGTCATCTGGTGGGCCCCGCCCTGGCGATAGCGCTGCTCGGCTTCTGCCCATCAGTGCTGCAGGGGACACGCGCCCAGCATAGCCAGAGTTTCTGACTTCTCAAGAGCAGTGGGAAATTGGAATTTACGGGTGAAAGGAACCTCTTGGTTTTTAGAGGTTGATGACTCATTCAAAAACTTTCAAAACATGAATCGTCAGCCTGACTTGTCTACAGACTGCCTGCCGGGTAATTTCTGAGACCCCAGGGTGGGCCCGGCTCTGCGCTCTGTCCCTCCTGGGCCTGGAGTCTGGTCTTGCCCCTCCCCAAGGCTGCTCTGTCCAATAGCATGTACCCCATCTGCTCAACTCCTGCCTGCGGCCCTTAGTCACACCCTGTGTCACCAGCCACGTGACCTGTCCTCCTAGCGCCATGCCAGAGCTGCCCCAGCCCCTCTCCAGTCTCAGCCTCCACACAAGAACCCCTCTGGTCCCTTGATGAAAACCGAAGGAGGGCAGGAAGGACAAAGGGACCCAAAGAACGTGGGCATGACTGAGAGGGAGGGTGTGAGGATGACGCCCAGGCTTTGAGCCTGGGGAACGAGTAGATAGATAGGGCCCCATCCTCCCTGATGAGGGCACCAGAGGAGCAAGTTCTCTGGGGAGAGGAGGCTCTCAGGTGGGCCTGTTGACTTTTTGTTCCCAGATAGGATCCACATGCCATAATGTTCACCCTTGTAAAATATACAATTTGGTGGTTTTTAGTATAATGACAAAGTTGTACAACCATCATCACTATCTAATTCCAGAACATTTGCACTACTCCAAAAAGAAACCCCACACCCCTTAGCAATCAGTCCCCATTCCCCCTCCCCACACCCTACTTTGCCTGTTCTAGACATTTCATACAAATAAAATCGTACAATATGTGGCCTTTGTGTCTGGCTTCTTTCACTTAGTGTAATATTTGCAAGGTTCATCCTTCTTGTAGCGTGTACCAGTACTCCATTCCTTTTCTTTTCTTTTTTTTTGAGGAAGATTAGCCCTGAGCTAACATCTGTACCCATCTTCCTCTGTTTTTTTTTTTTTTTATATGTGGGACTCCTGCCATGGCATGGCTTGACAAGCAGTGTGTAGGTCCGTGCCCAGGATCCAAACTGGTGAACCCCGTGCCATGGAAGCGGAGCAGGAGAACTTAACCAATACATCACCGGCCAGCCCCTACTCCATCCCTTTTTATGACTGAATAATATCCTATTGTATGGAAATGCCACATTTGGTTTATCCATTCACTGGTTGCTGGACATCTGGGTTGTTTCCCCTTTTTGCCTCCTATGAATAACGTTGCTGTGAACATTCGTGTTCAGGTGTCTGTGTGAGTGTATGTTTTCAGTTCTCTTGAGTATGTCCCTGAGAGTGGAATTGCTGGGTCCTATGGTACTTCCATTTTTAACTTTTTGAAGCATTGCGAGACCGTTTTCCAAAGAGTTGAGTCGCGTTTGAGGGACCTGTGAGATGTCTGGGGTAGGGGCCAGGGCAGGGGGAAGGAATCTGTGTCACCGAGCTGTGGGAGATGGAGACATTTATACAATTCTTTGAGTGCAGGATTTTGTTTCGTTTTGTTCATCTCTTTATTTTTAGTGCCTAGAATGGTTTTTGGCAGGTAACAGGGGCTCGATAAAGATTTGTTGAATGACTAAATGAACGTATGGAATTAAATCTCGGAGGAGAGTGCAGAAGTGGAGAGAAATCCGTGGGCCCTAGTATGTCGGCGACAGCTCACATGAAGTTCCACCTGAGCTGAGAATGGAAGCCAGGAGGATGAGGGCAGAGCGACATTTAAAGAGGAATTAATGAAGGAAGACTAGAGACAGTGACAAGAAGAGGATTATTTCTTATGTGCCTACTGCATGCCAGGCACTGTGTTGATTTCCTCAGAGAGAACTCATGGGAATGTTCCCCCAAAGAAGCACCTAGACTTTTTCTCCCTGGGGCCCAGCCCACAGCCCACTGCGTGGTACGGCCTTGCTCGTATTTGTTGATCAAGCAGCATCCTTGAGGTAGATGGCATCACCTCTGTTTTACCGAGAAAGCCAGGGCTCAGAGAGGTTTGGTCTTTAGCCTGAAGCCACACAGCTGGTGAGTTGCAGTGCTAGTACCTGAAGCTCAGCCTCTGTGAGCCCAGATGCCACCTTCTCGGCCACTGTCTCATGTGGCCTCTTCCGTGAGGAGCTGTTGGAGAAGAGAGACTCAGGACGGGGTGCTGCTGAGGACGAGGAGGAAAGAATGGGAATGAGAATTTCTAGAAGAGGAGGGGCTTCTGAAGATGCCGGGGCATTTGGCATCCGACCCCCTTGGTGGCCTTCCAGGGGTGGTGACCGCAAGGCCAGGTCAAGGCGAGTGTGGCTTTAGAGGGGTGGGCCTGGTGCCATGGTCATTCTATTATTATCAGAACCAAGGACACTGATGCCAGATTCCCAGATTTGACTTTTCCCTCTGACCCGCAGGACTGACAGCCCCCAGGAGCAGACATGGCGCAGAATGGCTGCATCAGCCCCAGCATGCAGCCTCAGTGTGGCTCCTGGCAGACACGTTGATGCCAGGCTGCTCAGTGGAGGGGGACAGGGCTGGGAACCTTGAGCCTGGTCTGCCCTTCTTGCCCTCTGGCTCGAGAGGGACACTCCCCCGGCCTCAGTTTTCCCATCTGTATTGTGAGGAGTTGGTATCGGGCAAAGAGAGAAGTACAGCTGGGACGTCAGGAGTGGGGGCTGCCAAGAGTGAGGCCAGTGACCTCTCCTGAAAGTGGGGTTCAGAATGCGGAGCGGCTCCCCCATCACCCTTAACAGCAACTTCTAACTTGGGCGTGGAGCCAGAGGCCTTCCTGGAGGAAGAAACCTACGGAGAGTGGGGGGATGGGGAATGCCCACCCTCCCTGATAGGGCGGGAGGCAGGCCGCAGGCTCAGGACACTGAGAATTGGGAACCTCTGTCAGCCTCACCTGCTGCCATTGGGACCTGCAGGGGGCAGCAGTGACTGTGCTTAGGCTTGGGGCGGGGGGGGGGGGGGGGGGGGGTGGCTTGGCTCCAGCGCCAGGCTGGGGGAGGCGCTTGGAGAAGGAGAGGCGTGGACCATAGGAGGGGAGAGGAGGGAGGACCTTGATGGGTTGCCTTCGTGGGCCTGGAGCAGGGAGACAGGCCCCAGAGAGCCAGCAGTGACTCTGGGACTAGGAGGCCTGGAGAATTCTATTCCTGAGCTCTGGGGGACAGGAGAGGGGCTTTGAGCTCTGCTTGGACAGTGGGCTAAGTGTAAGACGAGGGGTGACAGAGGCATAAGCACACCTCCTCATGGTCAGACACAATTACAGGTGTGCTCACAGATTCGCGCTGGAGATACACAGCTACACACTCTGATGGGCACCAGGGACAGGCACACACACACAGAGTTACACTGAATCTCCATGGAGAGTCTTTCCTGAAGGAAGGGGACCACACCCTGGAGAGAAGTGTTATTCAGGGCGTTCATTGTAAGCAACAGAAACCAAACTGAAACTGGCTTGAATGAAGGAAGGGAACTTATTAGCTCATATAACTGAAAAGTCCAGAGGTAGATTTTTTCAAGATGTTTCAGGTATGGCTGGATCCAGGTGCTCTAACAACACTGTCAGAAGTCTGCCCCTCTCCATCTCCCTGCTTGGCTGTCTTCTAAGTTGGCTTCATTCTCAGGCTTGCTCTCTCCATGACGTAGCAAACATGACTAACCATAGTTTTGGTCTTGTAGCCACCTTGCATAGCCACTCAGCAGAGAGAATGTCTCTTTCCCAGTAATTCCCAGAAAAACCCTGGCCTCACTGCTGAAACTCCCTGGGTCATGTATCCATCCTTAGACCCATCACTGTTGCTAGGGTGATGGAACATTGATTAGCAACCTTGGTCATGTGCTCCCCCTGCAACCTTGGAGTTAAGAGGGAGGTCAGCCCCACTGAACCTCCCGGATTGAAAGTGGAGAACCCAAAGGAACAGGGGTTCTCAATGCTGGGAAGGGAAGGCCAGAATTTCCCAAGAAAGTTGGGAGACCTCCAGCCTGAGCCACTCCCACAAGGGCCTCAGATGCTGCAAGTCCTTCAGAGGGCCACTTGGCCGGTTTCCCTTTGAGTCCCCCTCCCAGGGGCTCCAGCATGGCTGAGATCGCACTAGCTAACATCTATATAGCACTGCCTCAGTGCCAGGCCCCATTCTAAGTGCTTTTACATGCAGTAACTTGCAACCACAAGTCAAGAACAACTGGTACTATTATTGTTATTCCCATTTTACGGATGAGGAAACTGAGGCAGAGAGGGATTGAACAGCTCCCCCAAAATCACACAGCCCATGAGTAGTGTAGCTGGGATCCAAATCCAGGCTCTCGGGCACCAAAGGCCAGGCTCTCAGCCCTTATGATCTGCTGTTTCTAGGTAGGAGGACCTCAGGAAGGAAAGAGCGCTCTGGGAACAAGGATTGTGGTCCAAGAAGCTTGGCTCCCAGGCCCCAGCAGAGCGTGCTCTTGGAAAAGGATCTGAAAGCATCCTTCAGGGGGTCTCCTCCCTGGCAATTACTACTTTCATAGTGAAAAGAACCGTGGCACTTCTGGCACAGGCCAGCTGGGGGAGGCGGGGGAGGCCCTCCTGCCTCCAGCCCCAGATGCAGCTTTAGGAGCAGAGAGTGGCTTGAGATGCATCCAGGGAGGGGAAGGGACAGGACCCGACATGTCCAGCTGGTGCCAGAGGGGGCAGCAGCCCACAGAGCCACGTGCCATCCTTGAATGGCCCTGCCCAGCTCCACCCCCCCATCCCCCCGCAGGTGGGTGTTTGTCTACGAGAAGGGTTACCAGACCTCCAGCAGCCTCATCAGCAGCGTGTCTGTGAAACTCAAGGGCCTGGCAGTGACGCAGCTCCCAGGCCTGGGCCCCCAGGTCTGGGACGTGGCTGACTACGTCTTCCCAGCTCAGGTGAGCTGGCTCAGAGCCAGGTGGGGCTCTGTCCCACCTCCCTGTGGGCCAGTCCAGCTCCTCTCTCTCTCTGGGCCTCAGTTTCCTCACTGCGAATGAGGCAGAAGCAGCCTCGTAATATCAGCCCACTCTGACATCAGGGGTGTGGAGGCTGCGGGGCGTCATGTGACTTCTAGGGGTCTACTGGGGCTGTGCTTGAGTTCTCGAGGCTGCTCTCCCAGCTCAGAGCCCTGCCCTACCTTCCCCGTGCGCCTCACTTCCAGGGCGACAACTCCTTTGTGGTCATGACCAATTTCATCGCGACCCCAAAGCAGGCTCAAGGCTACTGTGCAGAGGTGAGAACTGCTGCCCATCCCCCCTTCTTGGACCCACAGGGAAACATAACATGGAGGAGGAGGTCTCCTTGGGCATTGGAGGTGAAGCTGGCTAGGCTTCCCGCAAAGGCCACAATGGTGGAATTTCAAGCATAGATTCACACAAAGTAACTGTCCACCATGGACAGTGCTGAGCTTTCCCTCCCAGCTGTGTGCCAAGCAGGATGCTGAGCCTCAGTGCCTGCCCAACTCCTAAGGCCCAATCTCCCTCTGTGCCGCCGCTCCCCTGTCAGCTGACATGGGCAATGGAGCAGCTGAGCATGAGACCAGAGTGTGTCTTGGGAGGGCACTGGGGAAGGAGGCTGCCAGCAAAGGTTACCCCAAAGGGGTCTGAGACTCTACCCCACACCCTCCCTAGGGCCCTGGGGGCGGGAGGGGCTCTTCTCAGGACCCCACCCAAGAGGCCTGGCGCCAGCAGCTCTCCCCTCCCCCAGCACCCGGAAGGCGGCACGTGCGCGGATGATAGCGGCTGCATCCCTGGGAAGGCAGAGAGGAAGGCCCAAGGTAAGGTCGGTCTCCTCCCATTCCCCTCCACAGCCCGTCAGCTTCAGGCTTCCTCCACCAGGAGGTCCTTCCTGCTCTCTCCCCTCCTGCCACCCTGACCTTGGCGTGCCCTTTCCCATACCCAACCACATTTCTGTCCTCAGGCTTCTGCTCTTGGGTGCTCCGTCACCGGGGGCTCCTAGGGATGGGGCGTGGGGCGGCCTCCTCTGCACCCCCAGCTTGGAGTGGGCACCCATGGGTTCCTCCATTGCTCCAGGCATCCGCACGGGCAAGTGTGTGGCCTTCAATGACACCGTGCAAACGTGTGAGATCTTTGGCTGGTGCCCCGTGGAGGTGGACGATGACATCCCACGGTAACGCCCCGTCCTTCCAGGGAGCTAGGAGCAGGTCCCCAGCCCAGACAGAGGGGCGTCTGGATCCGTGTGCTGGGAAAGCTCTGTCCCTCTTCTTCCAGCCCTACCCTCACCCCATCCATGCCCAGGCCAGAGATCCCCCTGGTCCCCAGTCAAGGGCCTGAGAGTCCACCATCATAGCACACCCCCCCTCCACCCATCCAAGGCCACAGGAGGATCCTGTGGGCTCTCACAGCCCCACACTGCGCCAAGCTTGGGCGGGCACCTGGGGGACGCTGGGCGAGCGGGCGGTGAGTGAGTGTGGTCTCCTCCAGCCCTGCCCTTCTCCGAGAGGCCGAGAACTTCACTCTCTTCATCAAGAACAGCATCAGCTTTCCACGCTTCAAGGTCAAAAGGTTGGTGGGAGGAGCGGGCAGCAGTGCCGGCAGCTCCCCGAGGCTGTGCTGTCGCCCTCCACTCCTGCTAATTTCACTCCCGAGGCCGCAGCCGGGGCCGGGCCCCCGGGTGGGCCGCCTTCAGTCTCCAGGGGCTGTGCAAGGGGCATTTCTGGAGCCCGGGAGGCAGCCCCAGAGCTTCAGGGCACGGTGGGCACCCTCCCAGCTGGCACACCGCCACAAACGCCCTCGGCTCCCATAGGCGCAACCTGGTGGAGGTGGTGGATGCCGCCTACATGAAGACCTGCCTCTACCACAAGACCCTGCACCCGCTGTGCCCTGTCTTCAAGCTCGGCTATGTGATACAAGAGTCAGGCCAGAATTTCAGCACCCTGGCTGAGAAGGTATGGTGCCGGGGGCGTGGGGAAGCCTGGGCCCCCAGATCACCAAGCCAACAATGCCTTTCCAGGCCTAGTTACCCCCTCCCACCAAAGCCTCCCAGGTCTGGGCCAAGTACATATATATGAATCTATTCTCTAATATTGGGGGCCCCCGAGGGTCAGTCCTGTGTCCTCAGCAGGGCCTGGCGTGGACCTGGCACACAGTAGGTGCCCAGAATGAATGGATGTGGGCAGACACTGTCACCTGGATGTCTGCTGAGGTCCCACTGTTGCTTATTTTATTTATTTATTTTTGAGGAAGATCGGCCCTGAGCTAACATCCGTGCCAATTTTCCTCTATTTTGTATGTGGGATGCTGCCACAGCATGGCTTGATGAGCGGTGCTAGGTCCACACCTGGGATCCACACCTGGGATCCAAACCGGCAGACCCCGGGCTGATGAAGCAGAGCATGCAAACTTAACCACTACACCACCAAGCTGGTCCCCACTGTTTTTTAAATATTGGATAAAAGCAGCTTGAATCCCATGGCCCATGTTCCTGAGAATTCCGTAATTTGTGGTTCCAAGAGAAGGGGTTCCTCGTAAGGAGGACAGATTTGTCTGACTAGGATCAAATCCCAGCAAGTCCCTAATGAGCAGGGTGACCTCAGACAGGTCTCTTACCTTCTGTGCGTCTGAGCTTTTCATTTGTAAAGTGGGTACAATCATAGTACCAGTCTTGTGGGGTTGTCTTGAGGATCAAGGGAGTTCCTGCGTGGGACAGCACTTCAGTACCGCCTGGCGGGTGGCCACCCTATTATGTGCTCACTGTCAGCCTGCTCCTGCAGCTGCCTATTCAGGCTGGCAATCAGCCCCTTTTCTGTGACATTGGGCACATGCACGCGCTCATACACACACACACACACACACACTCGCTCACAACACATTTATCTAGAACAGGGGTTAGCCAACTTTTTCTTTAAAGGGGCAGAGACTAAGTATTTTCAGCCTTGCAGGCCGCGTGGTCTCTGCTGCGACTATGCAGGTCAGCCACTGTAGGGCAAAAGCAGCCACAGACTTGGGTAAACAAATTCAGCCCTCGGGCCTCAGTTTGCAGACCCCTGGAGAGGGTTTACACTGTAGCAACACACACGACCAGAAAGCTGAATGTTAGGCCTCCCTGTTCCTAAAAATCTCCCTGCCAACCCCCTGGGAACTTCTCACCCGTCACCATCATCAGGTACCAGCCTCCTGCCTAGCTGCCCAGCTCCACATCTGCCTGACCACTTCCCAACTCTGCGGTGGCTCAGCAAACCCGTCCTGTCCCTGAGCCTGGCCGTGCCCAGAGGACCTTTGTATTCTCAAGTTTTCTCTTCCCAGCCCCTGTCTTTTCAGACTCACTGTTTAATTCAACAACTATTTACATGCCTCCCATGCTGTGACTCATGCTAGGAACTCAGGAGTCAGTGATGAAGGAGACAGACAGCCCCACCCTCGTGGAGTATACTGTCTTAGAGGAGATGGGTTAACAGTCACACAAAATAAATATATGATTACAAAGTGACTAATGTTCCAGAAAACACAGAAGGAATAACGGGGACATATTTTAGACTGGGGGTGGTGGTCAGGGAAGGCCTTTCAAGGAAAGTGATCAAAGGATGAGAAAGAGCCAGCCTTGTGGGGAACTGGGGGGAACTGCCTGTGCAAAGGCCCTGAGGTAGGAAGAGCTTGGTGTATTCTAGAAACAGTCAGAAAGCTGGAGCGTGACGGGCGGGAGGTGGGGCCAGAGAGGATGATAGGACCTCAACCCTGAAGCAGCTTCTTGGCGTCTCTTCTCAAACAAAAAAAATGCTCCCTCTTCAAGAGACTGCTGGCGCCAGCTATAAGGCAGGAGTCTCTTGATCCTGAAACCCGGGATCTTAAATGCCTGTGTCCCTGGCAGGGCGGGGTGGTGGGCATTACCATCGACTGGAACTGTGACCTGGACTGGCATGTGCGACACTGCAAACCCATCTACGAGTTCCACGGGCTGTATGAAGAAAAAAATCTGTCTCCAGGCTTCAACTTCAGGTGCCTGCCCGGCCCCACCAGTACACCCTTCCATGGGGGCCCACAGGCTCTCCCACTCCCAGAACCCCTTGAGGCCAAGCAAGTATCCCTGGGAGGGGAGCAGAGGAGCCCAGGCAGCTCCCAATCTCTTGGGATTGGTCAAGCAGGGAGCCTGCGGGGAACAAGACCTTGGAGGCCTAAGCCCCTGCTCCTGGCTCTCGGTCCCCTGGAGGCCCACCTGGCCAGGACCCGCTGGGGTAATTACTGACATCAGGAGTTAGGGTGAGGGTTGCATACAGCTCTCCTGGAGTGAGGCTGGGATCCTGCCAGTGGCTGTCCCTCTATATAATGTTGGGGGGCATGGCCGTCCTCATGGCCCTCTAAGGGCTCCTGCATCCCTGATGCTCTGCGCACTCGGGACCCAAGACAGTCCCCCATCACCCTCTCCTGCAACCTCACCCCTTCCCCCAGGTTTGCCAGGTACTTCGTGGAGAACGGAACCAACTATCGGCATCTCTTCAAGGTGTTTGGGATTCGCTTTGACATCCTTGTGGATGGCAAGGTGAGAGTCCGGTGTGAGGGGCAGCCAGAGACACATTCTCTGTTCCTGTGAGTGCCTGTTGGGTGTCTGTAGTTACAGAGACAGGAAGTTGGGTGGTCTTCACTCAGATAACAGATGGACCTGGGTACCACCGGGGGCAGGGCTTTCCAGCCTGTGCCCTCACCTCCCTCACTCTCTCCCTTTGTCCAGGGAGGCAGAGCCAAGGTCAAAACCCAGGGCTCCTGACCAGCGGTTGGGTCCCTGTATAAAGCCAGAGCAGTGGGCATGTGGGCAGCAGGCTGTGGGGCCAGCCAGCAGTGGAGGGTTGGGAAGCCCTCTTGCACCCCGGGCTTCTGAGGAAGGCCTTTTCCACCAGGCCCCGTCTGACTGTTAACCCTTCTCCCCCCTGGGCCCTGCCACCAGGCTGGGAAGTTTGACATCATCCCCACAATGACCACCATTGGCTCTGGGATTGGCATCTTTGGAGTGGTAAGTGTCAGGCTCATGGCATCACGGTGCGGGGGTCAGTCCTGCCTCTTCCAGATCTCAGTAACAGCAACAAGTCTCTTGCCCCAAAACTTGACTGTAATTGTCCATCCTTACTGATCCCACCCACCAGACTAGAGCCACAGTATGTCTGAGGAAACTGAGGCCCAGAGCTGGGGCAGGACAAAGGTGGGATGGGGCAGAGCCTCGTGGCCCTCCAGGACCTGAGGTCTGGGTAGGCAGGGATCAGCCAGGCCCCCACAGTCAGTAGGGACTCAGGTGGGATGTGGAGGGCTCTGTGCCAGCCCCCAGATTGCCACCCTCCCCCTGCCCCGCCCCCAGGCCACGGTTCTCTGTGACCTGTTGCTGCTCCACATCCTGCCCAAGAGGCACTACTACAAGCAGAAGAAGTTCAAGTACGCAGAGGACGTGGGGCAAGGGGCGGTAAGAGAACTCCCTGAGTCCGCCCTTCAGAGGCCTTGGGTTCACATGTCTGTGTTGGGGGCCCTGCTGCTCCCCCGGGGCTGACTTTTGTCCCCTCAATGCTTACACAGGGTGAGCGTGACCCCACGACCACCAGCTCCACCCTGGGCCTGCAGGAGAACATGAAGACATCCTGACCCTCCGCCCCCGACTCCTGACCGGATGCAGCGAGAGCCTTTGGGCCAGGGCCCTGGTGGGATCCCAGCCAGGCAGAAGGGTCTCCCAGGAGCTCTCCTGCCCTCCCAGCCAGGCAGACACCAGGTCGCTGGCAGCGCAGGGTGGACACTGGGAGAGACCTGTGCAATTCTGGGCTCTGGCTCCAACTCCGCACCCTCCAAGGGAGCCTCAGCCCAGCCTTAGCCACTCCTGGTCTGGAGGGCCTGGGCCTGCACGGGGCCCCACTCACACTCCTGTACCCGAGCTTTGCGCTTCTCTCTCCAGGCCCTCAACCATCCCACTGCCTCGGTGTTTCGACACCTGTGCTCTCCAGTATGGCAGCCACTAATTACAGGCAACTATTTAAATTTAAATTAATTAGACTTGAACTCCTCAAACTAGCCACATTACAACTGCTAAGTAGACACATGTGGCCGGTGGCTGCCATATTGGACAGCAGAGAACATTTTCAGTATCAAAGAAAGTTCTACTGGACAGCTCTGCTTGAGCCCTGTTTCTCAGTGGCCGCAGGTTTCCCTGGGGGGCTTATCAACAGTGCAGCCCCCTGCACCCACTCCAGACCTCCTGAACCAGAATCTCCAGGGCCGGCCACGTGATCTGCAAGGATTGCAAACTCCGAGGGCCATTTTAAGGACCTATGTTGAAGAACCGCCCCTGATCCGGTATCAGACTTGGCCTGGGCCTGCCTCCCCTGGCAGGTGCAGGCACTGCACAGGTGTGTGGTGTGCTCACAAGCCACACGGTGTCTCCTGCACACCCCCCGCCCATCTACACTGTGTATTTGAACAGCTTGGGCCCAGCAAACACAACCATCTGAACACACCTACACCCTCAAGCACAGACACATGGTCCATGCCACGTCACCTCCATGGGGCTATGCTTCTCCCCAAGTGTGTCAGGCCAGGACAGCCCCTTCTAGCCATGAATCCTTACTCAGCTACCTCCGGCAGCAGAGAGAGCCGTGGCCCAATCCTGGGCTCCCTGCTTGTGGCCCAGCCCCAGCGCCCAAGGCCTGCCTGGCTCTGTCTGAACACAGGGTCTAGGGAAAGCGAGAGGTGGAGAACAATAAAGGGAATGAGGACAAACCTCTGCCTTCTGCACTTTCTCCATCCCTCTTTGAAACTCAGTGTCCCCATCTGTACAATGCAGGTTGAGCTGGGCAATCGTTGAGGTCCTTCTGGATCTATCGGCGGGTGGTGACGAGCTGACCCTTATGCCCAAGCCCAGCAGGGCCAATGCTGGGGGTCAGCTCCCTTCTTTCCATGGGCAGCTGTTCTGGCATAGCCCCAACATTGGAGTTCTCCCCAATCCTCCACAAGCCCCTCCCACACTGTGAGAAGCCTGGCACTGCGATGAGCAGAGAACCTCAGGAGTGGCCTCATGAAAGCAGGGCTGACAAGGGGCTGGCTGTCCCAGGAGGGAGACCTGAGGGAGTCCCAAAGAGGGGAGGAAGGTCTCGAATGGAGACAGCGTGGAAGGGTTCTCCAGGGGCCCTGCTATGGGTATGACCTCCAGTGTGGACTAAGAGCCGGATAGACGGGGGTCTCTGGGCACCCGCATCACCATGGGTCTAGACCAGTGCTGCCCGACAGCAACAATGGAAATGTTCGCTCGCTGTGCTGCCTGATGTAGTCTTCACTAACCACATGTGGCCACTGAGTACCTCAAATGTGGTGAGTGCACCTGAGGAACTGAATTTTTAATTGTATTCCCTTTTAATTAATTTAAATTGCCATGCATGCCGAGTGGCTACCATATTGGACAGCGCAGGCTAGCCCCTCCCCTCTCCCTCCGCCCCTTGGCCTTCTGCCCTCTTCCCCTGCCAAGAACCATCCTTCAGATTTTACAGGACAGGCACTCCCTCTTCTTCCCTCCCTTCCTTCTCCAGACCTACCTGCTTGCGTACCTCCTGCTCCCTTCCCTCCCAAAGGAGCAGAAAAGGATTCCTCCTTTGTATCCAACCCTCCGCCCAGCTGGGGGACCTCCCAGCAGAGGCTGCCTCTTCTCTGCCTCCTCCTGGCCCAGGTTCCCTGCAGCTCTGCCTGCCCTCCCTTCACTGCCACCATTCCAGAGAGACCAGTCCATACTTCCTTCTGCATCCCACCCTCTGCAGTTGGCTTCAGCCCCCTCTTGCCCCCCCACTTCTCTTGCACACTCTTGCCAAGGTTACCGGCAGTGTCCTTGTTGCCAATCTGAAGCAACACTTCAGCCCGTATCCTGGTTGGCCTGTCAGCCTCTGACACTGTGGACCAAGCCCTCCTTTGTTGACAGATTTCCTTCCAGTAGTTCCTAGGACCCACCCTCTCCTGATTTTCCAGTCAGCCTGGTGTGGCAGGGAAAAGACAGTTTTCGGCTGCAGCTCTGTCACGGGTCACTGTGTGTCCTTGGGCAAGTTGCTTAACTCTCCAAGCCTCCTCAGTGAGTCAGGGATAATAATAGCCTCTGCTCAGGTTGAGGTGAGATAAGATATGTAAAGTGCCTAACACAGAGCCTGGCACACAGCAGTGCCCGCCTCTCTGTCTATCCTCTCTTTCAATGGTAGAGTGAGCTAGTCGTCCCCGGATGTCTATTCTCTCCACAGTGATAGTCCTTTGGTTCTTGGCTGGGTATTTGTCTGCCTAGAATGGAAGCTGCATTTCCCAGCCTCCTCTTACAGCTGGGTCTGGTCACATGACTAAGTTGTAGCTAATAGAATATATGTGGAAGTGTCACGTGACACCTTCTGGGAACTTTTCTTAAAAGAGAGATGGTGCAGGGACCAGCCTGGTGGCATAGTGATTAAGTCCACACGCTCTGCTTTGGTGACCCAGGGTTCACAGATTCGGATTCTGGGTGCAGACCTATGCACTGCTCATCAAGCCATGCTGTGGTGGCGTCCCTCATACAAAACAGAGGAAGGTTGGCACAGATGTTAGCTCAGCAACAATCTTCTTCACCAGGGGAAAAAAAAGAAAGAGAGGGATGGTGCACATCCTTTGCCCTCTTCTTCTTCATCCTTGTCTCCATCCCACTGCTTGAAATGCATATGTGATAGCTGAAGCTGTAGCCACCAGCCTGAACCATGAGGACAAGAGTCACATCCAGAGGTGGCTGAAGCACTGAATGGAAGGAGCCACCTCTGGGAGGTCTTTGTCAGGCAGAGCTGACATACCAGTCCAGGACTGTCTTCCCTGAAGTTCTTACGTGGGATTTCTGTTACCTAAGTCAAAACTGATCCTACCTGGTACAGAAACCTTTCCCTCTTAAAAGCGAGTGCTCTGTCCTTGGCCCTGCTTTATTTGCTCTGAGTTGTCTCACCTTTTTCTATGGCTCTCCTTACAACTATGGGTCCTTTCTGACAACTCCCAAAAATGTCTCACTGGCTCAACCCTCTTTCCTGAACTCTAGCTCCACATATCCAACCCCTCCATTGTCATGTGGAATTACTAGTCATTCAGTAAACATCTTTTGAGCACCTACACAACATGTCAGGCTGTGTGCTGGATGAATCAGGTACAGTCTCTGCCCTCAAGAAACTCCCAGTCAGAGCACGCACAGGCAGGCACATAGATGCTGAGTACAAGGACATCCCTAGGAGGGGCAGCTAACCCACGCTGGGCAGTGAGGAGATCATGGGGAAGGGCTCCTGGCAGAAGCTGCATTGAACCGAGCCCTGAAGGGAGTTAGACAGGTGGGTGGTTAGGACTGAGGTCATGGAGGGCTTCACTGGACCTATTCTCAGGGTACTGGTGAGCCATGGAAGATTCCTAAGCAGGAGCTGACTAGTTGGACTTGTGTTTCTGAAAGATTGCTCTGGCTGCCAGGGGGAGGGGTGAGACTGGTTGCAGGTGGGAGGCCAATGCAGAGGCTGCTGCAGGGCCAGCCCTGTGACCAAATGGTTAAGTTCACACGGTCCACTTCAGTGGCCCAGGCTTTCGCCAGTTCGAATCCCAAGCCATGCTGAGGTGGCACCCCACATAGCACAACCAGAGGCACTCACAACTAGAATATACAACTATGTACTGGGGGGCTTTGCGGAGAAGGAGAAAAAAAAAGAAGAAGAAGATTGGCAACAGATGTTAGCTCAGGTGCCAATCTTGAAAAAAAAAAAAAAAGGCTGCTGCAGCCACCCAGGTGCAAGATGCTGGTGGCCTGAGCTAGGGAGGGCCAGAGTGGTGAAGAGAAGTGGCTGGACTCCAGAGATATGTAAGAGGCAGCGTGGGCAGGGCTTGGCCATCGACTGGTTGGGATAGGAAAGGGGTAGGCTACGTGACTGCAGGATTCTGGCTCCAGATTAAGACAGGGACACAGGAGGCCAGGTTTGCAAGACTCACACGGGGTTCTATGGGAGAGTCATGTGGGCTTCTGTCTTGGGAAGTGGTGGGGTCAGGTGCCAGAGGATTCACAAGTGAAGAACTTGGCATAACAGAACCAAGAGTTGGTGAGCTCGCCAGGGGAGAGGTTGGGGAGAGAGTCCCCAGGAACAGCCACCGTGAAGGTCAGGCCGTCCTGCAGAGTCTCCTCCATTCCCTCTGTCCTGGCTAAGCCATTCCTGCCGCCTGCTCACAGATCCCTTCCCCAAACATGAATCTGACCACGACCCCAGCCCTCTGTGCTAAACCACTTCCCGTGTCCCCTACCCGCCACCCAGCAGAAGGCGAAATTCCTGAGTCTGACATTCAAGGCCTTTCTCCCTAGCCCTCGGCCTCGGCCCCAGCCCTGCTCGCCTTGCCCCTCCCCTAGGACGCACCGCGCCTCACCCCCCGGGGAGCGCTCTTGCCCCTGCCAGGCTAGGATGGAGGCGGACAACGGGTTTTGGGGGCTAAGTACCTGTACCCTGAACGCCCCGCTCCGGGGCCCAGGCCACCGCCTGCAGGCACGTCGGGAGACCCCAGGCAGCCCGCATCGGGGCGTCGGGGGCGTGACGAGGCGCAGCCCCGCCGCAGGGGGAGGGGCCCCTCCCGAGCCGCCGAACGCCCCGGCCCCTCCCCTCCGGGAGCGAGGCGGGAATCCAGGGCTCTGATTGGGCGGCGCCGGGAGGGGCCGCGCGGTCTGACCAATGAGCGCGGGCCGGGCGCAGCGGCGGGCGGGGGGGCGAGCGCTGCCTGGAGCCGCGGCGCCGGCGGTCTGAGCTCGGCGATCCGGACCCGGGCGAGGCGGGCGGGGCGGGGCGTGCGCCGCGGGAGCGAGCCTGGCCGCCCGCCGGGCTGCGGAGACTGTCGCCAGGCGCCGAGGTAGGGGTCGGCGGGGAGGGGACCTGGGGCGGGGAGCGGGAGGAAACGAACGCCTGAACGTCTGCTGGGAACCTGCAGCGGAGAGGGATGGTCTGCGAGGCTGCGTCTACGAGGGCAGCCGGGACCTCGATCGTGCGGGGATCCTCCCCCTTCTGTCTGGGGGGCCGGGTCTACGCGGTGTCACCCGGAGCGTGCTTCTGTCTGCGCTGGCAGCCGAGACCGCATCTATGCGGGCGCCCTGCCATCTGCGTCCCTTCCCCAGCTCTAGTCTGCGGGACTGCGTCCACACCGGGCGCATTACCCACCCCCGCCCCAGCTCTGGGTGGGAGGCCGTGTCTATGCGGAGTGGGCCCAGAGTGGTGCACCCACGTGTGGATCAGCGCGGAGCGCTTCACCTACACGCTCCTGCCGTGAATCTTCCTTCCAGAGCTGGGGGCGGGGGGATGAATGGGACATATTCGGCGCGTGGCTTTAGCTGCGCAGCCCTCCCTTGGCTGGGGGTGGAGGGGCAGCGGAGGCGGGTGCTGCGGCTTCTGGGGCTCCACAGGCACAGAACTGGTGGCTCGGAGGGTGCACACGTGCGCGTGGAGCTGTGTGTGGTGTTTGGAGGCGGGTGTGCATGTGTCACGTGGACACAGGAGTGTGCCTGTGTGTGTGAGGGGGGTGCTTTACAGGCTGGAGTGGTGTGTGAGGGCGGGTCACGCGGACATAGGCGTGCGTCTCCCCGGGGAGGGGGGTGTGTGTGTGTCTTGAGGGTGCAGGGGGGTGTGGAGAAGGGTATGTCCCAGGTCACAGGACGGGGCCTCAGTGGATGCATAGGGGGGCTATACATCTGCCAAGTGGGGCCAGGAGTGCAGGAGGCACACACAGCTTGTGTCCTTGAGGATCGGGGGAAGATGCACTGGCCTCCCCCGCAGCCCTGCCTCCTTCATTCAGCACATACAGATTGAGCACCCACTGTGTGCCAGACTGTGTCCCAGGCCCACAGACTCTGGGGGCTCCCTGTCTCCTCCTTCGTCTCTCATCCTCAGTCCCCACAGAAGGCAGAAGGGTTGTTTTAAACTTCATGTGACTGAGTCACACCCCTGCTCAAAACCCTCAAGCTTTGGAGGCCTCCTGGTCTCTGTCCACAAAGCCCCCCAAAGCCAAGCCCTTGTCCCAGCCAGGACACTGCTCTTTGTCATGCACAGCATGAAATTCCACCCTCTCCCCCTCTGAAATCCTTACTCAGTGGTCCTGAAAGAGCTTCAATGCCACCTCCTCCAGAAAGCCACCCCCGAGGCCAGGCACAGTGAGTGACAGGGCCTTCTCATCCAGGGGTAACTCTGCTGGCCGTGGGGTGCCTCTCACACATGGAACACTCTGCTCCAGCCACAACGGCCTCCTTGCTGTTCCTCAGACAGAGTGAGCACCATCCCACTTCCCAGCCTTTGCAGTTGCTGGTTCCTTTGCCTGAAATGCTCTTCCCAGTTGTCCACACTGCTCACTCCTTGACTTCCTTCAGATTTCTGCTCAAATCCTGCATCAGAAAGGCCCTTCCTGACCACAGTGCATGAATAGCGCCCCCCGGCCCCTCACTCTTGATCCCCCTTAGACTGTATTTTTCTCCATAGTACATTCCACTTGACCTATCTATGAGTTCCGGGCTTTCTTGTCTGCAGCTACTTGCCCCTGCTAGAAATTAAACTGCGTGAAGGCAGGGACTTTGTCTTTTTGCTTCACTGCTTTATCTTCCAGCCCCTCGCCCAGAGCCTGGGCACAGAGAGCAGGTGCTCCGTGAGTGTATGTTACAGGAATGGGTGACTCTGGATTTGTGTCCCAGGAGCCTGTGTCTCTGGCTGCTGCTCAGCCTGTGGCCCCCGGTCTCAGGTCAGGTCTCCTGCCCTTCTGTCCTCCAGACTCCAAGTTCCTGGAAGGCCAGGCCTGGGAGAAGTGTGACCATACTTGCATGTTAGAATTATTCCTTCTTGCAAGTGGTGTGGAGGATGCGGTGGGGTGGGGTCAGGGCATGAGCCTGGAGGCGGGGAGACTGGCGCAAGCAGTGGGAGAGGAAAGCTGAGGTCTGTATGTGGACTTTTTAAGGGGTTCAACTTGGTGACCTCACCCAGCAGTGGGGAGATCAGGGAGGACTCCCAAAGGAGATATCTGAGCTGTCCCCCGGCAGCAAAGGAGAAGGAGGTGTGTTCCTGGCAGAAGGCACAGCTTGTACAAAGCCCTGGCAGCAGAACAGAGTCTGCAGTTTGGGAAGCTGTGAGTAGTGTGGTGTGGCCAGAGTAGAGAGTAAGTGTGGGGTTGGGGGGAGCAAGGATGGGCGAAAGGGAGAAGACGGGGATAAGGAGGGGTCCTGGGTTTCTGGCCTGGGAGAACTGGGAGGATGGTGGGACCCTCTTTGCAATGGGGACAGAGGAGGAAGAGCAGACTTGGGGAAATGCTGAGTTGAATTGGGCCCTCTTGGGTCTGAGTTGCTCAGGAACATGGAAGAGAGGAGGCAGCTGGCTGGAAAGGGTCGGGCTGGAGGCGCCAACCTGGCCTGGAGGAGGAGGGGGAGCAGAGGGAGAGAGTGAGGCCTGGAGACCATCAGCCTAGATGTGCTGAGGATGCGCTGAGAGTTGTTGTGTTGACTCAGGCACAGAGCCCACCGCTGTGCTTGGGGCCTCCCTGGGGATGGAGGGGGGGCGTCCTCACAGCAGGCGTCCTCAAGCATGACTTGGCTCCAGACGCCTGGGCCTCCCTCGAGGGGACTGACTCATCCCAGCGGGGGCAGGAGCGCGGAGGGCACCCGTTGCCAGGGCCATCCAGACACTTGTCAGGAGCATAAACACAGCTCCTGCGAGGCAGCCTGGCGATGTCAGGGCCACCTTCTGTGTTTGGCTGTCCACCTCCTTGCAGCTTTCCCTTCCGGCCAGTCCTCTGCTGGTCAGGGCTGCGTTCTCTACCTGGATGGTAGCTGGTCCCTGATCCACCTGGCCCTGAGGGTCACAGCAGCCTTCCAGAACTCTGAGTGAGTCCTGAGTGGTGCCTGAAGTCATCCCAGGAGGGGCTGTTTGAATCAGCTTGGATGAGAGCAGGATATGCCTGCTCTGTCCTTCTCTGGACCTCCTCTGAGGGATCCAGCTGGATGGGGCATGTCCTGAGGAGGAGGCCAGGCATCCAGAAGCTGGCATCTGGAGCCAGAGTCTGCATCCCTTGGGAGTAGCCAGACACTTGGGATGAGGAGGCATAGCCTATGAGGAGGAGCCTGAGGGAGGAATGTGCCAGGCTATCCTGGAGCCGGGGGACAGGTACGGGGTTGTATTTTGTACATTGAGCCTCTCTCCCAGTGGCTTCCTGAGGCAGATACATCCGAGCTCCACATCGCTCAGGAAGAAACTGCTTCCATGTCCACAGTCTGATCCACTTCCTTCCATAGTCCTGGGAGTTGGCATGATGGTAGCCATGTGTCCAATTCGTATATGAGGAAACTGAGGCTCTAAGAGGCTCGATGACTTATTCAAGGCAACACAGCCCGAGTCTGGGAGGACAGGATTGGGGTAGCTTTTCCCGGTGAGTGGGGCCTGAGTCTGGCCATTCTTGGCTGCAGGACAAGGCTGGTCCCTGGGAGGCTCCCCATGCACGTAGAGTCCTTGCTCTGCTCTGGGCCTGGGTCCCAGCCTGTCTGTCCGTCCTTCTGTTTGCCCATGTGGCCCCTAGTTCCTTGCTGAGTCGTTTCTACAAAGCATCTCCTGAGGCCTCGGCTTGGGGAGGGTCTGGAGAGAGCCCCTAGAGGGAGTGGGTCCTGCACAGGACACACAGCCCAGCCCAGCAGGCAGCTGCAGGCTGCTGGACAGGTGACTACGTGGGAAGTTCAAACTTGACCTTTCTGCAATCAGGTTCCCATGGCGGCCAGGGGGTGCAGGCCCCACCCCCCATTCTAGAGTCCACGAACACTGAGACCTAAAGGCACACAGTGCACGTGAACACACTTACACACGCATGTATATCTCACCAACAGATTTTTGTTTCCATGCAGATGGCTCCTATGTGTGGATCCCCACACACACAGACACACACCCACCCCAGGCCCACAGCCCTGCTCGCACACGTTCTCTCACTTGCGGACACATGCCCTCACACGCACAGCCTCACACGCCAGGCCCTGTCGCCTGGACACGAGGCAGAAACCTGGGGCCTCCCTGGGGCCGCCTCCCGCGCAGACGTGCTTAGTCACCTGAATTTGATCCAGGCGGGAGGGAGGGTGGAGGGCCTGACGTCAGCCCTCACAGCCGCCTGTGCCGCCTGCGCATCCATCTGGGCCACAGCGTGTCCCAGGCAATCACAACAACAGCAGCACAACAACAACTCACTTTTACGAGGCTTCCTTAGTGGCAGGGCCAGTTCTGAGCCCAGCGGGGCGTTCACTCCTTTACTCCTCACCACCACCTGGGGAGGTGTGGGTGCTGTTAACCCCCTTCTGCAGATGAGGAGAACCCAGGCATGGAGGTGCTGTCACCTGCCTGCGGCTCACGGCCAGGAAGGGGCGGAGCCTGGCAGCCTGGCTTCAGAGCCTCGACCCCAAACCAGGTAACTGGGCCCTGGGCTGGAGCAGGAAGGCTCTGCCCAGACTTGCTGTGTGACCCCAGGCCCTTACCTGCCCTTTGCCGGCCCTGACTCTCCCCCTCTCCCCTCCCCCCCATCCTGCCTCCAGCTGAGAAAAGGAAGAAAGGAAGGGAGGAGGGAGTTGAAGGAGGATGGCCTCAGGGAAATCACATGCAAATATTATGGGCTCGGGCAGCCTGTGGCTTCAGCCTGTGGCCTCAGCCTGAGGTGGCTCTCGGTCCCGCCCTCGGCCCTGCCCTGCCACTGCGAATCCTTCCCTGTAGTGGGTAGGACCTAAGGTTTGTTGGGGTCTCCTCTCTGAGGCTGCTTTCCCATCTGTCTAATGGGGACAGGATGGTCATGATCCCTATGGCAACCTTTCATTCATTCAGCAAATATTTATGGAGCTCCTCCTATGTGCCAGCCACTGCTGCAGACACCAGTGATTTTATGGAGACAAGGCAGGCAGGAGCCCCAATCCATGGAGTTTATATTCTGGTGGAAGGAAAAGGGCCTACAGCAGGAGGGGGTAGGCCACCCCCAGGGAGGAGTAGGGTGGGCTGGCCAGGCTTGGAGGGCTCCCTTCAACCTTGGCTTCCTCCTTCCTGCAAGTGGCCTGGTTCCCAAAGCCTCCCTGATCCTCCTACCCCATTCACTGCCCCCTCTCATCTCTTCCAGGGAGGCCTTCCTGATGCTCCAGCCCTACTCGCCTCCTCCAGGGAGGCCTCCCTGGTCCTCTAACCCCATTCACTGCCCCCTCTCATCTCCTCCAGGGAGGCCTCCGTGATACTCCAGCCCCATTCATTCACTGCCCTCTCTCATCTCCTCCCGGGAGGCCTCCCTGATGCTCCAGCCCTATTCACATCCTCAAGGGAGGCCTCCTTGATGCCCTAGCCTCACCACCCTCCCCCACTCCTCTAGGTCCAGCCTCCATGTCTTTTCCTATTGCCAGTCTGGATTCCCCTCCTCCTTCCTTTCTGCATGTCAGTGTCAGCACCACCAGCTCCAGGCTTCCACTCATTTAACACACTGTGCAGGCACAGGGGGTCTGGACCATGCCCCTACCAACAATCCATCTCCAAGCCTTGCTGTGACCCTAGGGAATCTGGGAAGGTCTTGCATCCATAGTACAGTTGGGGAGACTGAGGCTCAGAGTCAGGAAGGAGCCTGCTTAGGACCCCCACAGTAGGATGGCAGGCAGGACTGGAACCCAGCCCAGGCTTCTCTGGGGCCAGTGGACTCCAGTGAGCCTTGCCTGCTTGATATCTGTCAAAGCAAGGTGATGGGGGAACTAGGGGTAAAATGGAGACCTGTGTTTTCAAACGTGCAATATGAGGACAGAGGAAGTTACCACGAGACAGGAAGGGCAGGGGGTCAGGAGTCCACTCACTTCCTTTTTCTGAGAAGATGCTGGGTCTGGCCCAGGAAGGGGGAAGGGCATCAGGCTAGGGTGGGGCCAGTGCTCAGCCTGGGGCAGAGATGGGGTCCCAGCATGAATGTCAGGGTTCAGCCTAGGGTTGTGGCCGAGGGGGAGGGCTAGGGCTGGAGGTTGGAGGTTGGTTTGGGGTTCAAGCTGGGGTTAGGCCTTGGCCCAGGGCCTGGTTTGGGGCTCAGACAGTGATAGGGCCAGGCCAGGGGGAGCAAATCAACCTGAGCAGATGTGGTAAACGTTTTGGCCACACAAATAAACTGGAAGGAAAACCAGGAGAAATGACCTTTGAGTGCAGAGAAATCTCTCTTGACAGCCAATAAAGCAGCAGCCCCCTCCCCTAATGGACCCTGTCCTGGGCTGCAGGCTCTGCTGGGGCAGGGAAGGCAGTTATGGGAGCCTTCTCCTGTGGCCATGGAGAGGCCTCCCTGGAGGAGGTGAGCGAGGCTGGAACAGCAGGGAGTCTTCCCTGGAGGAGGTGGGTGGGCCTGGAGCACCAGGGAGGCCTCTGCATCACCAGCACCCAGCTCAGCTTCCAGGCAGCAGCTCTGGAATGCTCTGCTGTCAAGGGTGGGGCTGGTGAGTCACTGGGCTGTCTGCGGATGGGAGCCTGAGCTGACCCTGGACTCTGTTTCTCCCTTGGCTGCTGGGCCTCCAGTGTTATGTCCGTGTCTGTCCGTCCTGACTCCAGAATGTTGGATTCTCCCTGCTTCCCTGTGAAGCCAGCAAGGCAGACGTGACTGGCTGTTTTAGATGGGGATGCTGAGGTCCAGAGGGCTGACGTGCAGCAGAGCCGGATGAGTTCCTGGATTCCTTCAGTTAGGAGGGACAGACCTGAGTTTGGATGCTGGCAAGCCAGGCAGAAGGAACAGATAGTGCAAAGGCATGGAGGTGGGACCCACGGCTTTTGGCTACAACGGGAGAGGGGCCTGGAATCTGACCGCCTTGCTCCGTGGCCAGGATCGAAGCCTTCTCTGCCCTCTTTTCTCAGGTTCCCAATAAGGCTGCCCAGAGGACCCCCTTGACTGTGGCAATGGAGGGGGGCTCAGCGCTCTGCTGCCAGGACCCTCGGGCAGAGTTGGTGGAGCGAGTGGCAGCCATCGATATGGCCCACTTGGAGGAGGCGGATGGCAGCCCAGAGCCTGCCAGGAATGGTGTGGACCCTCCGCCCCGGGCCAGAGCTGCCTCCGTGATCCCTGGCGGTGCTTCAAGACCCCCCCCAGCCCGGCCCAGCCTCTCAGCTAGGAAGTTCTCCTTGCAGGAGCGGCCAGCGGGAAGCTGTCTGGAGGCCCGGGCTGGGCCTTATGCCACAGGGCCTGCCAGCCATATCTCCCCACGGGCCTGGCGGAGGCCCACCATCGAGTCCCACCATGTGGCCATCTCGGACGCAGAGGTTGGTGGGGCAGAGCTGGGGGGTGCTCATGAGCTTTTCAGTAGTCCTCAAGGAAGATCCTTTTCTGCTCCTTTCCCTGCCATACAGCTGTCTAGCTTATGGTTTGCGTATCCCAAACCAAAGGAGAGTGCTGAGGAGCCCACTGCCTCCCAATAGGGCCTCTTCCCACCTAGGGGAGCTCCATCTAAGCCAGCTGCTGCCTCCTATAAGTCCCACCATCCCCACCCCCAGTTCAGACCTTAGAAACAGGCTCTTCCTTTGTCCCCCAAGAAGTCCTCTTAGAGATCTGAAGACAGACAATGTGTCCTCACGCCCCTCAAGGCTTCCTCAGCTTGAGCCCCCACCTCTAGTCCTGCCCCCAGAGGCTGCTGTCACTCAGAAGCTGACAGCATGCTCCCAGCCCCTGGGCTCCCACTGGTCTGTCGTTGCCACTTAGATCTGAACGTGAACCCAAGTACTGAGCCGTGTACAGCCGTCAGAGGCTGTAGACCTTGTCAGAGCTTTCCAGACCTGAGCCAGGGCTCTGGTCTGCTGTCCCCGAGGCTCTCCTCATCTTTCTTCTCCTTATAATTCAGACCTCGCATTCAGCTGCTTCTGGAACTACTTACTCATGAAGTTTCCCATAGACTGGGGTCTCCCAGATCCCAGCATCCAGGCAGGAATCAGTGGATTTTTCCTTTGCCATTCCCTGGGGAGCAAAGCATAACCGTGGCTCACCATTCATGTTTTCAAACGTTATCCAAGGCTTCTTGTCACATTTGGTGGCTTTGATGCCACCAAGTTTCCCCATCCAAACTTGAAAGCTTGATGAGAGCTGGGGTCTGGAAGTGAGGGGTCTGGGGCCAGGATTGGGCCCTGAACAGGCCCCTGAGGTGGGAGCAGGGCCACCTCTGGATCAAGCTTTACCTGATGCTCCCCTCTCTCCCCCCCCCAGGACTGTGTGCAGCTCAACCAGTACAAGCTGCAGAGTGAGATTGGCAAGGTAGGCCCGGGGCAGGCCAGGAGCAGTGGGAACTCCTCTTGGGGCTTTGCGGAGGTGGCCTGTTAGGATCCTCTGCTTGCCATAATCCCTTCTTCTCCTCTGGGAATGTGAGGCAGAGCCAGGAAGGCCCAGGCCTGGAAGTGAGGAAAGTTTTGTCTCTGTAGGAAATCCCTGGGGTGGGGGGCTGGGGGTGGGAGATGACTCCTGATTCCTGACTCCCCCGTTTTTGATGGAAGACACGGAGGGACTGGGGGAGGCATGGAGCTGCGTTGAGCCAGGCAGGGGCTCTTACCAGGGCACAGGAGTCCAGGAGTCCCCTCCCTATTGATGGTGGGGATGGAGATGGGATGCAGGAGGAGGGGGCTGGAGCTGTTCAGGCTCCCCTTTTCCTGAGCTAGTCCTGGGAGAGTGGGCTGTCCGGGTGGGGCTGATGCATGCCTATTTGCAGGGTGCCTATGGCGTGGTGCGGCTGGCCTACAATGAAAGTGAAGACAGGCACTATGTGAGTCTGGGGATAGGAGGGAGGCATTGCCCCAGCTGGGCCCTGGCAGCCTGGGAGTTGGGGCAGAAGCTGTGCTGGGAAGTCAGAGGACAATGTTGCCTCTGAAGGGAGTGAGCTCCCTGTCCCTAGGGGTATGCAAAGGGAGTGAGCTTCTTGACCCTGGGAATAGGCAAGCAGAGGGTGGATGCCTCTGAGGGGAGAGCTCCAGAAAGGCTTGTTGGGAGAATAGGGGTAAGGTCTAGACTCAGCTATGGCCTCCTCCTAACCCAGCTTAACCACATCCAGGCCATACTCTCAGTGCCAGTGGCCGATGCCCACTGTACCCTTCTGGACCTCAGTCCACATGTAAACAGCCTGTTCTAGCGCCTGGTGGCTGCACATGAGTGACATTTCTGTCCTCCTTCCTCAGGCAATGAAAGTTCTTTCCAAGAAGAAGTTACTGAAGCAGTATGGCTTTCCACGTATGTATCTGTCAGGTCCTGTGATTGGGACTCCTAGCCTGGGGGCAGAGGAGGAGGAGACCTGGGTAGGGGGTACAGGGGATAGAGGGGGGACAGCATGAGCAAAGGCCTGGTGGTGGGAATATGCTTGGTGTATTGGGGACAAGGCCATAGTCTTGCAAGATTCTTGCTTGAGGCTGGTTGCAGGACCATGATGAGGCCCAGCCTCCTGCAACAGGGGCCTGACTCCCCTTCTTGGTCATAGGTCGCCCTCCCCCGAGAGGGTCCCAGGCTACCCAGGGAGGACCAGCCAAGCAGCTGCTGCCCCTGGAGCGGGTATACCAGGAGATTGCCATCCTGAAGAAGCTGGACCACGTGAATGTGGTCAAGTTGATTGAGGTAGGTGGTGAGCGGGTGGGGATCCATGCCCGAGTCCTGTGGCGCAGCCTCTGGTCCTGGGGGCACTCAGCACAGACCCAGGGATCCTGCCCAGGGAGATGTGGCTGAGGCCTTGGAGGGCAGAGCCAGACTTGGGGTGGGGGCTACAGGGAAGCTTCAGGGGTTAGTTCAGGCTGGTCTTGGGTGTCCTCAAGGTTTTACTGAGCATGAGGGGCTGCCCCAGAGGCAAGAAATGAGCCCCCCATTATGGCAGGAGGGGAGAAGGGCTGGATGCCCTGTGGTGGGCCAGGCTTGGGGGTCAGTGATTTCTGAGGCCTCATCTGTCTGGTGCCTGCACAGTTCCTGCTCCATTGTCCAGGGTGGCTGCAGAGCACACTGGGGATCCTGGGGCTGGTGAGGACAAGGAGGCCTGGGACCCCCATCCCAGGCCTCCCCAAGCCACAGCCTCATGTCTGCTCCTTCTGACCAGGTCCTGGATGACCCAGCTGAGGACAATCTCTATTTGGGTGAGTGACCCAGCTCATTCTCAAAGTAGCTTACCTGGGTTGGGTCCAAGAGCTCCCTGGGGACACATGTGACCTTCAGGTGAGCCATGTGAACACACTGAGCTCCTCAGGGCAGAGAGAAAGCACACGTTCTCAAGCCGGGGGTCCCCTGCCCAGCCCTGCTGAACCAGGTTCAGAACATCCAGGTAGTCTCAACAAATATTCCCAAGCTCCTACCCCACTGGTTGGAGAGCCAGGGGATCAGATAGATGCAGGAAGCAGGCGATGGGATGTGGGTTCCCAGAGTCTATCTGACAGCTCTGTGCCTCAGTTTCCTCACCTGTAAAATGGGGATAATAATGGTGTCTACCTCATAGGGTTGATTTGAGTTATATGCAAGACACGTTAGCTATTATCGTCAGTGATAGTAATGTTGTTGTTATTGTTTAAGTCCTTGGTACCTGACTCAGGGCTGGGCTTGGAGGCCCTCCAGAACTGGGGCAGGAGGGACTCTGGATTGGGAATTCAGTCTCCACTCCCTCTCCTACCTGTCTATCTGCTGTGACCTTTAGGAAAATTTCTTCCCCTTCTCTGAGCCTCAGTTTCCCCCCTGTAAAAGGGGTCCGTGCTGATGCTCCTCGCCTGGCACCTGAGAATCAGATGAGGCAGGTCCATAGTAGACCCACCCTTATGCATTGACTTCCTCTGATTCCCTGGGACCCCTGTCCTGGGATGCCAGCTGCTCACCTGCCCTCCAGGACCGGGAGGGACCTGGGCATCGGCTGCTGTGCCAGCCTGGCTGCACCTCACCTACTTCTCTTTTCTTTTCTTGCAGTGTTTGACCTCCTGAGAAACGGGTGAGTTCCCCGTCCTGATCAGGCAGGTCAAGTCTAATCCAGGCCTTCCTTTCCCTCCTGTGTCCCTTGTCTTAGGGTCAGCTACTCCAGGAGAAAGCAGAGGCCAGGCCCTCCCCTTGGGGAGCTCTGGTCTTGGGTGGGGAAAATGAGAGACCAGGAGGATGATTCTCTGAAGGCCAGTGGGGTCGGTGAGGTTGGAATAGTCAGGGAAGCCTCTGGAAGAAGGGGTAGTTTTGAGCCAGGCCCTGAAGAATGGAAAGAAGATTTTGATGGAGGAGAGGAAGAAGAAAGGAATATTTCTCAAGCAAAAGCGTAGAAATGGGACTCAACTCTTACCTGTATTCAAATCACAAAGAGTTCTTTCAGCTTTACAAGTTTGTGAGTTGGGTGGTTGGGACTCCATTCGCTCCCATTTACAAAAGGGGAAGCTGAGGTTCAGAGAGGGTAAGTGGCTTGCCCAAGGTCACACAGTGAGTCACTGATGTAACCTATGGTTCTAACTCAAGTCTGCCTTGTTTGACCTTCTCAGGGTGTTTGCAGAGCAGTGTACAAGGAGTATGAGCATGGGGCTGGGCTGACTGGAGGCCCTAACTGCCGAGGCCTTGAATCCAGGCTGTGGCTTGTCTCTCTGCCTGGGGGTGCTTCCGAAAGCCCAATTTGGGGAGGGGGCAGGGAGTGGTGTCGTTTTAAGACTCAGAGGCTTTCAGATGTTTTTGATCTTCATTCAAAGTAAGAAATATAAGTTTTAATTGCCATCCATATCTGTAATTGAAACCAAAGTTTTACAAAGCAGTGTATGTCTCATATGTCTACTCTCATAGAGTCTACTTATTAGGAAAAAAAGCAGTAGCCACGACTGTCTACTGGGTGTGGACCTACAGTTTGAAAAACATTGCTCTAAATGGCGTCTTTGCAACTGTTTGATTATAGAGAATTAAGTGCTTAGAAGAAGGAATACCAAGTCAAGAAATTAAGATAAAGCTTATTTGAAATTAGAATAATTGAAAAGGGATATTTGCGTCTCTGTGTGTTTTAAAATTTTCGTTATATGGGAGAAGCTAATATCTTGGGTTCTAGGGACCCGTCTGAGCATAGAGGGCTCCCGAGAGGTCCTGGGGGGGTCTGTAGGGCCCAGCCCCTGTTCCCTGTCACCAGCCATCTGCCTTTACACCTGATTCTGGCTAAACACCCCTCCTCCCTCGCTCCCCATAGGCCAGTCATGGAGGTGCCCTGTGACAAGCCCTTGCCTGAGGAGCAAGCCCGCCTCTACCTGCGGGACATCATCCTGGGCCTTGAGTACTGTGAGTGAGGGCCTGCCTGCCCCTGGGGCTGGGGACAGCCGAGGGATGCAGGAGGGGGCGGAGCGCAGGCTAAGCCGGCTGTGAGCAATGCCTGTCAGTCAGTGAGGATCTGCCAATCAGCTTCACTGGGGGGGGGCTGGTTGGAGCTTGGACCTGTGGGCGGGGCCAACCTCCTGACCTACCTGGGTTGAGGGTGGCAGCAGACTTCACTGGGCATTCCTGGGCATTCGCAGTGCCTGGTCACCACCATGTTGGTCTGCGCCTTGGGTGCTGTCTATCTCTCTCCTCTGCTGAGTTCTTCGCCACGCTTGGCCTCTCCACAGGGCCTCAAGAGATGTGGGAAGCAAGAGATTTTTGTTCAGCAGCTCGAGGAAGAGTCTGTCCCTGGCGTGGGGCTTGTGGGTGGTGGCAGAGTGGGTTTACTGTGAGGGGCCCTAAGGTGATGAGAGCTCAGGAGGGAGGATGTTAGCTTAGCTTCTTTCTCTGGAATTCATTTATTCATTCATTTGTTCATTTGTGAGTACTGACTAAGTGCTGGCTGGGGGCATGTAGATGGCAAAGACCCAGAAGTGACCTCAAGGATCTCCCAGCCTGGTAGGAGAGACAGGAACCTGAGCAGGAAGATAATATAGTGCAGTGCCTGCCGAGGCTGGGGAGGCACAGGGGCTGTCAGAGTGCTGAGGGGTCAAGGGAGGCTTCCTGGAGGAGGCCACTTGTGACCAGGGTCCTGAAGGATGAGGAGGGGTTCATTGGCCAGGTTTGAGGCATGGGTAGGAGAGGGTAGAGTAGGCAGAGAGAACTACGTAGCAGAGGCCAGAGCGGAGTGGGCGTGTACTATTTGAGAATGGGGAGAGGTTCGATCTGATTGAATCTGGTGGGGGTGGAGAATAGTGAAAGATGATGCTGGAAACTGTTCAGGCTACACCATGAGGGCTGCGAATGCCTCCACAGAGGACTTTCCTGACTTCATCCTGTCGGTATGGTGAACCCCGGAGGGCTTTGAGCAGGGGAGGGGTGTGACGGGATTTGTGTCTTAGAAAGCTCTGTCTGGCAGCTGTGTGGTGGCTGGATCGGAGGGGGTGAGGCGGCCAGCTGGTTAGGGAGGAGGCTGTTTCTACAGCCCAAGTGACAGATGGTGAGCCCTGGATTAGGGCAGTGGCAGTGGCGAGGAGACAAGAAGGAGGTGGGGTGGCCAGCACTGGGTGACTAACGGATCATTGGGAGAGGAGGGCCCCCAGACACCTGGGGTTCTGGCCTGGTTTGGGAGCAGGGGTGCTGTCCATCTCTCTAAAGTCTTAGCTTGGTTTATCAGGGGCATATTCTCTCCCTGGGGAACAGGGTGAGGACCCTGTGGTGACAGGAACAGGACTATCTTTATCTTGTTTGAGCCACTCCAATGCCCTCAGATTAATGCTGTCTTTGTATATATGGGAAAACTGAGGCACAGAGAGGGGAGGACTTTGCAGAGAGTCCCTAGCAAGGGCCTTCAGGTATGGGAAGGGGGCATTTCACCCTGGATATGGACAGTGGGAGGCACAACCCTGTCCAGCTTGGCCTCCACCCCATTCCTCTCCTGGGCCCTTCTCAGCTGAGGGCCTATTGTCTCCCATCCTCCATCCCCCCCCAAAACAAGCTAACCCCAGCTGGCTCTTGGGTCAGGCCTTGTCAAGACCCAGCTAATCATGGTGCAGGCCTTCCTGGAGTGGACTGGTCAGCACCACGGGCTGGACAGGCAGGTGAATGGAGGCACTGGCCGCTGAAGACCTGCCTTGGGATTCTGGTCCTGAGAAGGGAGGGTGAGGCTGCCTGGGGGAGGCTGTGTGGTCGGGCAGCCCAGGCCTGCTTCTTACAGATGAGTCAAGTGCAGCAATGCAGGTGTGAGAATTACTCGGATCTGGATTGTATCTTGGAGGTCGAGCCCATAGGACTGGCCAGTGAATTGGATGTGGGATCTGAGAGAGAGAGGAGTCGAGGGTGGGCCCGAGGTTTTTGGCCTGAGCAGCTGGTAAAATCTGCCGATAACCTGATGGGGCAGCCTAGAGGAGGAGCAGGGGTTTTCTATTTTGCTTTGTTTGTTTGGTGGTTGGGGGTAGGAGGTTGCAGACAGAGAAATCAAGTTCTGAATTAGACACGTTATTGACAAATATTGAGAAATACGTTGAGATATCTGCTGGATATTCATGTGGATAAAGAGCTGGGAGTTCAAGGGAGAGGCCAGGGTTTGAGATAAGAATTTGAACCCACTTTCCATGGTCAAATACACAGCCCCCTGAGCCTCTGCGCTCCAGTGTGCCAGGAGGCAGTCACTACAGGGCCATGGGTTTTGTCATTATTATTATATGAGACTCACTCCCTTTGCCTCAGCCTTCCTCTCCTCTCCCCTCTGCTCCTTCCCTTCTCGTCTTCCCTCCTCTCCAACACCCTGGGGTCTGTTGGTCCAGGGAAAGGTATTTGCTGAGAGCGGAATCTGTAAGTGGATGGCTGGGGGACGGGGTCAATGCCTTCTCTTGGCTGGGACGTCTCTGGCCATCTCAGCCTGAGCTGCCCCTCTCTTCCTGGCGGTGCTGGACCCAGGAAGCAGGGTGAGCTCCCAGCCTAGCAGAGAGAGCTGACTCTTACCCTAGCCATGTTCATCCCAGCAGTCCTATGGCCTGAGGTGCCCTCCTCTCTGAAACCCCATCAGCCTAGAGACCCTAGGGGTGAGGCAGTATCTCTGCAGGACACCCCACAATCCTACCCTCAGTCCAAGGAGCAGGGACTTCTCTGACAGGCTGGGTGGGGAATGGAGCTGGGGAAAGGTTTTGATGGGCTTTGGGTCTGCACACAGCACCTACATGGGAGGGCCAGAGACGGGCTATGGAGAATCCCCTTTCCCCAATTTCCTCTGACCTCCCCCCTCAGCATCAAGTGCCTTGATTGCCGTGGAGAGAGCACTGGACTTGGAGTCCAAAGATTCCTAGGAGTTTAGTCCTGGCTCTGCTGCTCACAGCCCGGGTTGGCCTCAGGGTCTTCACTGCATAGTGGAGCTGAGGGCCCTCAAGTTCTCTCCTGAGGTCCTCATGAGATGAGTGTGTGCAGGCGCTGGGCTATCCCAGCTCCCTCTCTCCTGGAGTTTGAGATGGGCTTCCGTGGCCAGGCTAGGGCAGGTCGGGGTACTGGGTGGCGGTCCCCCGGGCCAGCGCTTGAGCTGCCTCTCTCTGCAGTGCACTACCAGAAGATCATCCACAGGGACATCAAGCCGTCCAACCTGCTCCTGGGGGACGATGGCCATGTGAAGATTGCCGACTTTGGCGTCAGCAACCAGTTTGAGGGGAACGACGCTCGGCTGTCCAGCACGGCTGGGACCCCAGCGTTCATGGCCCCCGAGGCCATTTCTGATTCCGGCCAGAGCTTCAGCGGGAAGGTGGCTCCCAGGGCCTGGGCCGGGTTGGGGTGCCCGTGGAGGGGCGGAATAGCTTGCAATGGGGCCTTGTTTCCAACCTGAGGGTGCCAGGGTCCTTGTGTCTTGGGAGTGAATGCTGAGCATGGTCCCCTCCTTCGTATTTGCCTCATCCTGGAGTCCAACAAACTCCCCAACTTTGGCCTCCTCTGGTTTTCCAGCAAAACAGCCCCAAGTCTTCTCTGCAAATGTTTTGTGCTTGCTGCTCTGTGCTGAGCTCTGGGCTGGGCGGTGGAACAGACGGCCCAGACAGCCCTGCTCCCGGCCCTTCTGGAGATGGTGAAAGGGGCAGGAGAGCTCGTGTTTGGGGGAAAGTCGGAGGCTCCCCTCATATTTCTTGGACACGCCAGGGTGTGAACTAGGCCTTGAAGAATGGGGAGAATTCAAGCAGGAGGTGGAGCCCAGAGAATATGCAAGAGAACTGAGGGGCACAGGGTAGGAGGCACGATGGTGTTTGGGCAGAGTTTACAGGATCTGGAAGTTTGGGCTTTCTCCTAAGTGACAGAGGGAGTGGGCAGAGCTTTCTGAGCAGTTCTGTGTGTGGGCACACGCCTCTTCTCGCCTGTGGAGCGCTGGCTGCCCCACCCTGCCCCTGCCAGGGAGACGATGGTCGAGAGGCATTTGGACATGTGTGTGGGTGTGGAGCTCTAGAGAGGTCAGGAATGTAGGTAGAGGTTTTTTTTAAATTTTTAATTTTGATATAATTCCAAACTTACGGAAACAATCGCAAGAATAATACAAAAAACTCTCATATCTTTTTACCCTGATTCACCAGTTATTGACATTTTGTCCCATTTATCTTTTCATCGTCTCTCGCTATATTTATTGTGTGTGCATGTTACATTTTTCTGAACCATTTGAGAGTTAAGTTGGAGACAGTATCCTCCTTTATCACTAAATACTTTGGCAGATAATTTTTTTTCCTTTTTCTTCCCAAAGCCCCGCAGTACATAGTGGTATATTTTTTTAGTTGTGGGTCCTTCTAGTTGTGGCATGTGGGATGCCACCTCAGCATGGCCTGATGAGTGGTGCCATGTCTGCGCCCAGGATCTGAACTGGTGAAATCCTGGGCCACCGAAGCAGAGCGTGTGAACTCAACCACTTAGTCACTGGGCCGGCCCGAAGGTGGATATTTTTTAAGAACAAGGACGTTCTCTTACGTAACCTCAGTACAACAATCAAAACTAGGAAATTCATTGTTGATAAAAGCCTATTGGTCGACCTTATTCAGATTTCATCAGTTGTCCTGATACTGCCTTTTAATGCCTTTTCTTTTTCTGGTCCAGGATCCAATCCGGGGTCAGTCACTCCATTCACCTGTCATGTCTCTTTGGGATCTTCTAATCTGGAAGGGTTCCTCGGCCTTTCTTTGTCTTTTCCACCCTTGACCTTTTGAAGAGAACAGGCCTGTTATTTTGTGGAGTGATGTCAGCTTGCGTTTGGTGCTCCCTGATTGGATTCAGAGGAGGCGGCTGTGGCAGGAATACGTGGATAGAGATTTGAGAATCACTCACATAGAGAGAAAGCAGATACCAGGCCAGGAGGTGGGGTTCTAGAAAGGGGAAGGTAGAGAGAGCACAGGTTAGAACCCAGGGTGTGGGGAGCGTGAGGGGTCGTGGAGGTGCCCTGAGGGCTGGGCCTCATTCTGGTTTCAGAAAGAAGGTGGATGGTGGCTTCTCCAGTGGCTTATTAGGACAAGAGATGACCTCTCGAAGCCAGAGCTGGTTTAGTGCGTCTAAGTTCAATGCATATCATCATTTCTGGGCTGCATCTGTCATGGGTACAGTAAATGTGACCCTGTAGATGCAGAAGGTTTTGTACCTGTTGAGTTGGAAACTCAGTCTGGTTTGGGCCTATTCCAAGGAGACTTGGAATCCCTGGAGGGCAGGAGCCCTGTTCAGTGCTCAGCACAGGGTCCAGCATGGAGCAAGTGGCTGGCAGTGTGTGTTGAGTGAATACATGACTGAGGAAGGAGGTTCCCTGCATGGCCTCTCCCATGGCCCACTGCAGCTGGGTGGGCAGGAGGTATGGGTTTCTTTTGGGGGACTAATGTGGGCTGTTTCTTTCTAGGCCCTGGATGTGTGGGCCACTGGGGTCACGCTGTACTGCTTTGTCTATGGGAAGGTGAGTGCTAGGTGGGCTGGCAGAGCGGAGCCAGGATGAATGACAGGTGTAGGACCCTCTCTTGTGTCCTTATTAAAGTGACTTGTGAAAGAGCCCACCTGGCTCAGAGGAGACTGAGGGAAAAGAGGCTTTTCCTGTTTTTCTCTTGTCCCCTTAGGAGGGGATTCATGTGAAGCAGTCCCAGGACATCAGACATCCCAGGGGGGGTGTCGCTGGTGGTGTTGCCACCTCTCTAGCCAGAGTGCTCCTTCTATCCCTTGATGCCATTCGTTCATTCATTCACACATTTAGTCAGTCAGTCAGTCAGTCAGTCAACAAGTTGTCCTTGACTCCTGCTCCAGGTCAGGCTGGGCCTTGGGGCACCCAACACTGATGTGGCCCAGATCCCTGTGTGCAGGTGCTCCCACTCTAGTGACTGTGCTGCGGGGCAGGCTGTTGTCTCAGTGAATGTGCTCCTGAACTCCAGGCCCTGGGACTGAAGGCATTGCCATGACGCTGGCCAGTACCCCCAGCCTCACAGTTCCCTCAGTCAGTCATTCCTTCAGTCTGTGTTTGTTGAGCACCTACTGTGTGCCAGGCCCCAAACAGGTTGGATGAGGTCCCTCCCCTCTAATGGGGAGCCCAGAGCTGCCCCCACCCCAGCCCCCTGGAGAGATAGGGCTGGTCCCCCAGCGTGAGCCAAGGCCCCCGGCCTGCATCCTTTGTCTGCTTCCCCCACAGTGCCCGTTCATCGATGATTACATCCTGGCCCTGCACAGGAAGATCAAGAATGAGGCCGTGGTGTTTCCCGAGGAGTGAGTCGTCTGTCAGGGGGCTCCCGTCCCCCCTCAGGGAGATGTGTCTGAGTTTTAGCATCAGAGGTTTGGCCCTTTCAGGGCCCCGCCCCGGCCTGCAGATCTGGAGTGGGTGCTGTTCCCTGGGAGGGCCCTGAGCAGACGGAGGGGTGGGACTGTGCACAGGGTCTCAGAAATCTGGATAGGATGTCACTACACAGATGGGGACTCTGAGGCCAGGTCACACATTCACACTGCTCCTTCACTCAAGGCCTCTGTGGGGTCAGTGGCGTCAACCCCACGCAGACCCTCGACTCATGAGGAACCTCCACCTTCCTCATTTGGGATGGGAGGGCTTCAAGATGCCAGTGTGCACCCCTATTTCACAGATGGAAAAGTAGAGGCTCCGGAGAAGAGTTATCAGTGGGTCTGGGATTTGAAGCCACTCTGTCCTCCCAGCCCCTTCCTCTGTGACTGAGGTCTCTGAACCCAGAGGGACTGTTTGGAGAGGCCTCCCTGCTCATCCATTGTTCTGCTTGCGATGTAGGCTACCAGCCAGCCTGAGCCCCCTGGCTTCTCATTTTTCAGGGCCCTTTTGCCATCTGCTCAAATGTCCGGGGCAGGTCAGAAACCATCCTGGTATTTATCCTCAATGACTCCTGCTCCCTGGCGCCCACTTCCTGTCTGGTCGCCAAGCTCTGTTGAGTTCACCTCTTACATATCTCTTGGCTCTGTTGCCACCTGCGCCCCTGCCTAGTCCAGGCCTCAGCCTTCTCCAGCTGCCTCCTCTCTGGCCTGCCTGCTGCCAGCCTCCCTCCAGTTCAGCCACCACAATCAGACCGGGCTGACCCCACTAAAGCTCAGCACGTCTCACCATATCTCCCGCTTCACGTTTTTCCAAGGCTCTCAAAGCCCGCAGGAAGAGGCCACGTCCTGGCCCTGGCATTCAAGGACCCCTGGGATCTGCCACCATGTCGGCCCCTCCCCCACAGTGCTAGCCAACTGGATTCCATCCCTCTCCTAATTGCCTGTCTCCTTGCCTTTCCTCCTGCTGTATCCCCTGCCAGAGAAGTCCTTCTCCAGCCCGGGAGTTTTAAATTAAAAGGGATTAAGTATATCTAGGACAGCAGAGGCAGCCAAGGTCAATAGTCCCAAGAATGGGGTTCCTTCTCCCCAGGCTTGGAGGAATGGGGTCCCCAAGGATGTACATAGCAAAGAAGCCTGGCGTTCGGGCAGAGACAGTCCAGGCTGATGAGGGGCTGAGAGTCCTGCCCCCCCATCCACCGGAGTCTCTCATCCTGACCCTCACTCTTCTGGATAGCAGTGTGCCAACTCACTAACCTCAGGCCTTGGTTCCCCCCCGTCAATGAGAATCTTTCCTGGCCACCTCCCAGGTGGAGAAGGGGACCAGATGGTGAGTGGGAGTAAAGGCCCCTGGTGTCCCATTAGATGACTCTTCTGGCATTATCCCCACCATCGCTGCCACCTAGGGGTTGTTCAGCACCCAGGGAACTCTGTTTGTGTTTGTGGCCTCTGCCCCCTGAGGGAGACCACTTTACTTCCTGCTCAGGAAAGAAAGATATCTCTATACTTGTTCTGAAACTCTCCTTCGGCCATGAGACCTTGGGGTGTCCCTCCCGCTCTCTGTGAAATGAGGGTCAGGTGTATCTCTGCCCTCGTCTGCGCTAATTGGGGAGCCCCAGGAACAGGGTGTGGATGGAGAGCTGGGCAGGACAGGATCATCAACTGTCTCTCTTTCATCTCCTTCCTTCCCCCTCTTTAGGCCAAAGGTGAGCGAGGAGCTCAAGGACTTAATCCTGAAGATGCTAGACAAGAATCCTGGAACAAGAATTGGGGTGCCAGACATCAAGGTTGGGGAACCAGAGGTCTTGGGCTGGGCTGGGCTGGGCCACAGCACATAGGCCTGCTTCCCCTTCTAGAGAGCCCTACACTGGAACATATGTTTATTGGGTTTGGGTTTGGGATTTGTGGCTTTGGACCCCTCAAGGGGACTGCTGGTGGAGTGTCCGTGCCCCTTGCTGAATGGGTGTCTCTGCCTGTGGCCCTGACTCCTCCCCGCCCTCCCGACTCCACAGTTGCACCCCTGGGTGACCAAAAATGGGGAGGAGCCCCTTCCCTCCGAGGAGGAGCACTGCAGCATGGTGGAGGTGACCGAGGAGGAGGTGAAGAACTCGGTCAAGCTCATCCCCAGCTGGACCACGGTGGTAAGAGGGTCAGGGGCAGAAGGCTCCCTGGTCCTGGGAGGGCCTGGCCATTGCCTGAGATTTGCTCTGTGCTGGGCCCCAGTGAGGGGACAGGGCCACCTGGTTTGCCAGCCCCAGTGCTGGGTTAGGGGGGGCCACTGTTCTGCTGGAGGCCCATGAGGAAGGATGTCGCTTTATTCAGCCTCGTGGTGGGGGGACCAGGAGGTTTGGTGAGGAGAGTGAGTGATGTATAAATACATATGCCCTCACGGAGTGTCAACATTCACCGTGGCTGGAGGAAGCGTTTCCTGCCTTCCTAGCATTTGTTGAACTTCTGCTGTCTTCCATGCACTGTACTAGGTGCCAAGGATGTGAGTGGAAAGGCCGAGGAAGCCTTTGAATTGGAGAAGGGGCCCCAGAGCCCCCTACATTAGTTGGACTCTACCTGTATGCTCCCTCCATTCTCCTCACACACTTTCATTTTTCTCATCTTCTGGATGTGTTCCATGTTAGCAGTTGGGAGTTGTTAATGTAGCCCCTGCTGGCCATTTGGGGCTTTTTAGGACACTGAGAGCCATGGCCTGCCCTGCACTGAGGTATACTGTGAGTCAGGGTAGGCACAAGGGCAAGAGAGAGAGCTGGACCGAGCACTTCATCCCTTCCTACTGGTCCAGGCCCAGCCAGGGCCAGCCGGCTAAAGGCCTGCCCGTTCCTATGCTCTGTAGAGCTCTGGGGCTCCTTGGGGTCCCCAGGACCTGCCAGCTCCAACAGAGTCCCTACTGCCACTTCCCAGGTCTTAGCTACCGTTGTGTCTCTCCTAAACCACTGGACTAGCCTCCCAAGTAGTCCCCTGCCTCCACCCTCACCCCCATACAGTTAATGCTTAAGTCAGCAGCCAGCGTGGTCCTGGTGACCGGATCATGTCACTTCTCAGCTCGGACCTGCTCACTCAGCCTCCCGTGTCACCCAGAGCAAGAGCCACAGCCCTGACTGCCCTGCAAGGCTCTGCACAGCCTGCACGACCCCATCCCCCCCCCCCCCCCAACACACACACTGTCCTGGTGTCCTCCCCTCATTTCATTCGCTCGGCTCCAACCACATGCTGTGAAACCTGCTGCCTCAGCGCCTTTGAACTTCTCTTCCCTCTGCCTGGGATGCTCCCGCCCAGACCTCAGGGTTCTCTCCCTCATTCCCTGAGGTCTTTACTCCAAAGTCACCTTCTCAGGGAGAAGCGAGCCTTCCTGGCCTCTTACCCACAGTTCCGACTCCCCTTTATCATATCTTATCCCCCTTTCTTATTTTGTCTTTCTGCTCAGCCTTTACCATTAACTAACAGTTTATATATTTTACTGACTTGTCTTATCTATTGCCTGTCCCCCCAACCAGAATAGAAGCTCTAGGAGGCAAGAACTTTGGCCTCAGCGTGGCCCCTGTGCCTAGAATAGTGTCTGGCATATCATGGGCGCCCAGTAAATAGTTGTTGATTGAATGAGTGGATGAATGAATGAATGAACAAGTGAATGCACCTCTGGTGCTGTGCATGTGGGGTTGGTGAATTTGTGTGTATGTGGGCAGGGGCATGGGACTGTCCCTGTTGCCAGAGGAGGGACAGGGTCAGAGAGCCGGGCTGCAGCAGCCTCTCCTCCTCTGCTCCATCCTGCCCCCTGTAGCTAGAAGGCGTTTCCTCATTGCACTCCTCATGCCCTCAGAATAATGCGCCCCTTTCAGCCTGGCGTTCCAGACCCTTCCTGCTCTGCACCTGGCCTCTGCCCCCCAGGCACCAGTTGCCCTGGGCTCCTCTGCATCCCCAGAATTCACCCTCAGCCATCACCCCTCTGTGCTCTTGCTGTTTCTTCTGCTTGGAATGTTCTTCCTTTCTCTGCCTATTGAGGGGAGCCCCCGCAGGGCCCACTCCGCAGCTCCCAAATCAGGGAGTCAGAGTGGAGGCTGCCAGTGTGTCTGGGAGCCTGGGGACTTGGTTCCTCATGCTGACATGTCCTCCCCAGATCCTGGTCAAGTCCATGCTGAGAAAGCGTTCCTTTGGGAACCCGTTTGAGCCCCCGGCGCGGAGGGAAGAGCGATCTATGTCTGCTCCCGGAAGCTTACTGTCGTAAGTACTGGTGGGCTGAGGCCTGCAGTGTGCTCCCTGGGGTGGGGTGGGGACTGTGGCACCCTCCTCATTCTTACTGCCATCGGGCTGTGCAGGCTGAGCCTGGAGCCTGGGGGCTCGGCTGGGTCTCAGAGTAGGACCCCGTTGGCACCTCTGTTCTCAGCCCACGGCAGCCGGGTAGAGGTGTGCAGACAGGCCTCATGTCTGCTCCTTGTAGAAGGCTGGCTCGTCTGTGGAGGGAGGGGCACTTCTGCTGACTCTTCCCGGAGTGTCAGCTGCTTTCCTGAGTGGCCCGTGCTACCTCAGCCATTGCTGAGACTGTGTGCGCAGTCAGCACTTTGTAAATGCTTGTCCAGCAAGTCAGCATGGACAGGCTGGCTGACGGGGCCCAGAAGAGGAATCTCCTTTTGCTGAGGGTTCCCCACTGTGCACCAGGCACATGCATTCACCACTTCCTTAGGAGAGGTCGGAAAAGTATTTCCCCAAACCTCCGTCAGCCTCCTCCCTAGCTCTTTCACCTTCTTCCACTAAAATAAAACTCAGTTTGGGATGCCAACGAGGCCTGCTGAAGTTTGTGCACAGACCTGCAGAGAGGGGGTCCTGGACCAGAAAGTGGGACGGCAGTGGCCCCACTCTGGCCTGTGCAGGGAGCTGCGCACGGGGTAGCCGTGCCCCCCAGCCCACTGTGTGGAGAAGGCGGGCCCCCCAGCCTGCTGGGTGAGGGAGGTGTGCCCCCCAGCCCGCTGTGTGGAGAAGGCAGGCCCCCCAGCCCGCTGGGTGGGGGAGCCGTGCCCCCCAGCCCACTGTGTGGTGAAGGCAGGGCCCCCAGCCCGCTGGGTGGGGGCGGCGTGCCCCCCAGCCCACTGTGTGGAGATGGCGGGCCCCCCAGCCTGCTGTGTGGAGAAGGCAGGCCCCCCAGACCACTGTGTAGGGGAGCTGTGCCCCCCAGCCTGGTGTGGGGAGACGGCGGGCCTCCCAGAGGTACCTCAGCCTCTCAGGAAGGGGTAGTTTCTCTTGTGCCGTCCAGGGGCCCAGGGGCTGGTTTTGTGTGAGGCCGCCCTCTTGTGAGCCAGCCCTTCGGAAGTGTCGGGGCCCATCCCAGTGGACAAGCTGGTGTCTGTTCCCTGCCAGAGGTGGCTTGTACTCAAGGAAGCCCATATACCAACCTCTTGCCCCCTCGTGACAAACTTCCTGGCCAATGGGGCGTCAGGGGTGGGGCCCGGGAGAGGCCTTGACAGTGTTAGTTCCCTGTCTCTCAAGGGGGGTGGCCAGGGCTGGGGGAGGGTCTTCCCTGGGCTCCTCTAGGTCTGTAGGCCTCGAGGCTGGGATTGGGCTCAGTGTGGGGGGGCTCATATTTAGCATCCACACAGAGCCACTTCTGAGAGTGAAAGAGGAAGCTGGTACTAGTTATGCCGGGACAACAGGCGTAACCAGGACCCTGACCAGCAAACCTGGACTTGGTGTCACTCTAGCTCAGCGCCTGTGACTCAGCACCCCCTACTGGTGGGACAGGCCAGCCACAGGCTCAAGATCCCTCCGGCACCCGGTCCACGCCTGGCATGGGGCTGGGCGCCAAGAATACAGCTGAGCAAAGCAGTCATTGTCCTTCTATGGACATGTTAATAGGGAGATAAGCCAGTTTCCTCGTCTGGACTGTGAGAGGATTGAGCTTCATACTTTCCAGCTATAAAATTCTATAATTCTGGGACCCAAGTTGAATTTTGAAATGCAGGTTTTACGTAGAAGCCCAACATGTGTCCTTGAAAGACTTTCATGCTTTGGGATAATTGTTGAAACTCTACAATAGCATCAAATGGGATTGATCCTTTTTTAAGATATCAAAACCCATTCATTGTTCATTTTATAAAGAAAGGTCTTAGGGGAAGAATCAGATACAGGGATCGATTGAATATGTGACAGAATCCCAAGACTGATAGGTAGACTCTGTCCTGTGAATAAGGCAGAAAATGCCAAAGCAAAGCCCCTTTACCAGGGACTGTGGGGCTATCTACACCAACAGGGCAGGCCTGTGACCTGGCTGGTGCTTGAGGATGCGGGGAGGTCAGCTGGGTCAGATCGTGAGAGGCTCCAGAAACCAGGCTGGGAAGTCTAGACTTCATCTCCGGGCAGTAGGGAGCCATGGAGGGTTGTGGTCTGAGACCAGGGGTGGGGAGACCAGCAAGGGGCCACGATGCAGGGGGGGCGGGACTGAGGGGTGCTGGGGGGAGGGAGGACTTGAGAGATTGTGGATACAGATGTGAGTGTGTGTGAGGGTGTCCTGCTGAGTGCATGTTCTGACTCCCGAGGTCCCTCTGCCCCTGGTGTCCCCTGAACAGGAAAGACGGGTGTGGCGAAGGGGGCAAGAGCCCAGAGCTCCCCGGCGTCCAAGAAGACGAGGCTGCGTCCTGAGCCCCCGCATGCGCCCAGGGCCGCCCAGCAGCACGCTCATCCCGCGCCTCCAAAGGCCCGCTGCCCTCATGCCGATGGCTGCCCCCGCGGGCAGGGGGCTGGGGACCGTGGCCCCTCTCCCGGCCCCCCTCCCCTTGTCGTGCAGCATGACCTCCGCACGCGTGTCCAGGGACAGGATTGGAATGTGTGTCGTCTGGGGTTTGAAGGGCAGGGCTCCCACAGGCCTGTCTCCACAGCCTGGCTCTGCCTGGCGGGACCCATCCTGGGGGAAAGTTAGGTGCCCGTGGTGCCTTAGAAACCCCAGCTGGCTGGTTGGCAAGGCCCAGGGGCAGGAGGCAGGAAACCAAGACGGCGGGTGGAGGCTGGCTTCCCACCGATGCAGAGGCCTCCTGCTGGGGGCCAGGCTCAGCTGCCACACGCACATGGAGGGGTGGACCCTGCCCAGCTCGGGGGGTGCTGTCAGAGCTCTGGTCTGCCGAGAATGCTGATATGGAGTCTCTGAGCCCTCGATGGGTGTTCCTGGGCCTCACTGGGGCGGGGGCCAGTATTGGAGAATTCAGATTCCTTCTTTGTTGTCTTTTACTTTTGTTTTTAATTTGAGGGGGTGGGTGCAAAGCCCTGCTTGGGAACATGTACCCAGCTCTCCTACAGCTTTGGGTGGTTCCACCACACCCCACCATTATCTGGCTGCCAGGAGGCCCGGACTGACCTCCCTGGATTGTGTTTCATACTCGGCACTGTCCAGAGAGTGGGCTGAACTGAAGCTCTGAGCAGAGGCTTGAACCAGGAGCACCACACCTCCCTGCCCACCTCCCTTCATGGCTCCCCACAGCCTTGGCTGCAGAAGAGACACCAGGGGCTGACACTGACGGAGGGCCCAGGCCTCACAGGGCTGTGGCCTTGCAGATGTGGAAGTAACTGGAATCTAATCTCCAATCCTACACTGGCCTACCAAAACGGCCCCAGAAATGGCTTTCACATTCCTACGGTGAAGACTGACTGCCCAGGTTGGAGGCAGCGCCAGAAGCGGGACCCTGGTGGGGTGTGGGCCATGGGGACGTGGGCCTCCCACCGCCCCCCAGGACAGTTGCCATTTGGCCTGCTCAGAGCAGGAGCGCTGGAGCACGCGTGTCGACCCAGCCATGCTGGAGCAGACATCACCTTCACTTTGGGACCAGTGCCTGGCTGGCTGGCTTGGCGTTTACTGACCAAATACTCAAGAGATTGACCCCAAAGGAAAATAAATCAGGACTCAGATACCTCCCTTGAAAACATGGGCCAAACAAGGGATTTCAGTCCCCCACGTGGGTTTCATATTGCAAGAGAACTTGTGTTGAGAAGGAAAGGGAGGCTGGGCTGGAGGAGTGCCCTCGTCCCGCGCATCTCTGTGCCTGTGGGTGTACGTCGCGCCTCCGCGCACACGCATGTGCGTGCCCATCTGCTGCACACAGCACACTCGCATGTCTTGCACTGGCACATGCATCTGTAATATAGTTTCTCTGTCTACTTAAGGCTATGAGCAGAATACGGCCCGTTGTCAATGGGTCCACACTTCTCCCTGGCTCCTCTGCACTGAGGCACTGTAACCCAGGGCTTAACAAATAATTCGGGACTCTTTTTAAGAACACTTTTATAGAGTTCATGGGAGGCCAGTCACAGATCTGCATGTTGTTCTTGAGCTTCTCTGCACTGGGCCTGGAGGGTGGGGGTTTCAGGGGACTCCCTTGGCTAGACCTGCCCTGGCAGAGCTCAAAGGTGGGCCCGGCTCCATTGCCTGTGCTAGAGCCGGGATGGGGTGCTCACTCGGTTGCTGAGGGTTTTAGTTAGCATCGTTGTTTTTGTATGTAGCACAAGTGATGAAGAAACTCCATAAGAGTGTTTTAAAAATTAACTTCCCAGGAAGTGAGTTAAAAACAATAAAAGCCCTTTCTTGAGTTAAAAAAATTTTTTTATGTGTACATTTTCTCCATCTGGCTGTGTGTTCTTTCTCACCAGCTGGGCCAGCTGGCTTTGCTAGCTTTCCTGGAAGGGTCCAGCAGGACAGGAGTGGGAGGAGCTCTGGGGGGGAAGTGAGAGGGAGGGAGGGAGGGAGAAGGGCTGGCTCTGCAGGGCGAGGAGCCAGGCCAGGATTTTGCTCAGTCTGCTGGGCAGGTCCCATGGCCCCTCCTTCGGAAGAATAGGGTGTTTGGGGACCAATGAGCTGCCCATGAGGACACCCTGCCTGTTGCACAGAGGCCCAGGGAGCCCGAGGTCTGGTCCTGGGGAGCTGTCACCACTCTTCATGGGGCCAGTGGAGCCTCACAGGAGTCCCTGTGACCCAGGACTGTGTGTGACCTGTGCCCCCTTGGCCTTGGACACTGGTACAGGCTTTTGGACCCTGCAGCTCCCTGCTCATAGTAGGACCCTCCATGGCCAAGATGAAGAGTCCTCACTGAGGTCAGACAGCCTTGAGCTTGAATCGAAGCTTTGCCATTTAGTAGCTGTGTGACCTTTGGCAAGTCATTGGAGGACTCTCGGTTTCATTACCGGTAGAATGCAGGTAATGTCAGCATTTCCTCAGGGAGTTTTTGTGGGGTTAAAATGAAGTCCTTGTGCAGAGCATCTGACACAGTGCTTGGCACACAGTACTTAGCAAGTGAAACCCTTAGAAGAAAAACAATGTTCTGTCTAGCCTTAGAGGTCACGGGCTCAGCATGTCCTGCATGATTGGTATTTGCCCATCTTTTGGAGATCCCAGCTGGGTGAAACTGGAGACCAACCAGAAGGAGACCAAGGCAGAGGCTGCCCAGCGTGGTGATCAGTTTTTCCGTCTGAGAAATGGAGACCAACATCACTCCTTCCTGTTTCCTGGTCGTCCTGTTGCATTTTGGACCCCACCATCTAATTTCCTCACTGGTCTCCTGGCCTTGGGCCTCAGCACTCCAATCCATCCTCTTACCAGTTGCCAGAGCAATCTCTAGGTGCCCATCTGACCATGCCCACCCCACTTAGAATCCTTCTGTGCTCCCTATAGTGCTCAGTCTTGCATTCGAGGTCCCTGCCATCAGCCCCACTGGCCTCTCTGGGTGTTCTCCTGACCCATGCCCCACCCACCCATGCTCCATTCATTCTTCCTCCCCATGGCTCTTCAGGTCCACTCACTCCTCCAGAACACTGCTTTCCCCCAACTCCTGCCTCTGCTTGTCAAAGTCAGCCCCACTCTCTAAGACCTATTGTGCAGTCAGAAAAATCCCCATACTGCTCTATCCCAGGCCCTGGTCACCAAACCCCGGGCCTGGGTCTGACAGGCCAGATCATCATGCGTAAGAGCCAGACCATGGGTGCATGATGTCACCTCCCCAGGAGGACAACCACTCCAGGAGGCACACTGTGGTAGGGAAACTGAGGCCCAGGGAGCAGTGACTCACTGAGTCACATGGTGAGTCAGGGAAGAGCCAGGCCAGAGCCCAGGTCTCCTGCCCATCCACCCCACCCATGTCCTCCAACACTAGCTGCCAGGAAAACCGAGAGCCCTACACATGCGGAAGGGCACCTGGGAAAATGAGAGATGGAGGCTGCACTTCCAGATCTAACCACACGGGGGAGCAGAGCCCAGGCCAGGTGTGTCCAGTGGAAGGCTGGAAGGCAGTCGGAGGTTTGCCCTGGGAGGTCCAGATTCCTGGCAGACAATGTCTTCGGACTCTGGATCCCACAGGCATTTTGCCTGGTCTCTGCTCCCCGCAGCCCCTCTCATCCTATATGGTCTCAGTCTGGGGGAGGGGAGGGAGAGGTGCTCAGGGCCACTGAGGGTTACAGTTTTCCCAGGGAGACACCTACACATACTAGGACCCATATAGACACCCCACAGGTTACAGAGTCCTCCCCACCACACACACACACAGCCTGGCATACTCACACAGTCTCTGTTCAAGCAAACAAGAAGGCCTGTTTTTACGGGGCTGCCTCCTGGGCATCTCCTTAAATTAAATGACCATCTCCTGCCCCTGGTCTTCTCCCTCATACACACACAGACCTGGCTCTGCCTTCTAGGTTCTCAGACACATCCATTTCTCTAGCTAGGAATGAGCCAGGGAACAAAGTCTGGGTCCTCTCACTCTCCAGGGCAGCTGCCCGTCCCTGCCCAGGTTGGGCTGACCAGTTTGTCATTAGCCCATCCCAGCTTTGTGGTCAGCCTCTCTGCCCTCCTCACTGCCTAGGCTCCCACCATCTCAAGTCACAACCTCTAGGAAGCCTTCCCTGGTCTGCAGCCTCAGAGGCACCCTTGGAATGTGGTCTAGAGTCTGGTTCATCTCTATGACTGGAACCAGGGTCCAGGAATTGTAACCTACCCTCTGGCTGAGTCACTTTCACAACTTATATCTGCTCACTCACTTTTCCACCCTGATGAAAACCATTCGAAGAGCATCCTTTAGCTGAATCACGAGAATGAGGCCTTCCCTCTGGGACCCCATTCTCTCCACCCGATCTCTAGTAAGTCCCTTTTCTGGCCTGCATATCTCTGGCCTTTTCTGGTCCTCCGTTCCTGCCCCTCAGCCTTCAAACTAGCTCAGGCCTCCGCTGTAGCTATAACCCAGATATTCCATCCCCTTGGCTTTGCAAAAGCCATTGCCCCACACTCCTGGGCATGCAAGGGGCAGCCCCTCTTGCCTTCTCTCTCAGATGCCCGCTGCACTGGCTCCTTCCCTCTTACTGCGCGTCTCACTCTCTCCCATCCCCAGCAGGACTGGTCACTGTCTGTCCTAACCATGGTCCATGCGACTGGCTGATGCTTTCTTCATTAAGAGCCCTTTGACCCCTCAGCCCTTTGGTTTCCCCAAGACCCTACCCCTATGGCCTAGGCCCAGGTCTGCACTGAAGGAATGAACTGGAACAAGGAATCTGCAACACAGGAAGGGGCTGGTTAAACTTGCCCACACTCGGTCTCCCCCAGAGTCCAGGGGACCATTGCCAAGGCCCTGGAGCTTTCATACGAGAGGACCTCCTTCTCTCAGGTGCTCTCTTCTCCTTCCTTCAGGCAATCTGTGCCAACATCCACCCACCTCCCTGGGAAACCCACCCCAAAGCTGAGAGAGGGCTCCCAGCTGTGGTCTGCTCCCTTCCATTACCAATTCAGTCTAAAGAGTAGATAAGACTGGCTACATGCTAGAATCTCCTAGGGAGTTTTAAAAAAGTCCTGATGCCTGGGCTCCACCTTCACAGATTCTGATTTTATTAGTCCAGGATGTAGTCTGTGTCTCAGGATTTTTTTTTTTAATGAGTAGATTTTATGTTTTGGAACAGTTCTGGATTTCCGGAAAAACTGAGTGGAAAGCACAGAGTTCCCATACATCTTCTCAACCCCCTCTCCCGCCCTCTAGTTTCCCCTATTAGTAACATCTTGTCTTAGTGCAGCACATTTGTTACAACCAACGAGCTAATATTGATACGTTATTAGTAACTAAAGTCCATAATTACTGTGTTGTACATTCTATGAGTTTTGACAAACATGTAACGTCATATATCCACCATTACAGTTTCATACAGAATCATTTCACTGCCCTAAGAGTCCCCTGTGCTCCACCTGTTCCTCCCTCCCTTCTCCCACCTCTCCCTCCCACCCCGACTCCTACTCCTCCCACCCCTACCCCTACCCCCAATTCTACCCCCCCTACTCCTACTCCCCCATCCCCTCAAACCCTGGCAACTGCTATCTTTTGACTGTCTCCACAGTCTTGCCTTTTCCAGGATGTCATATATAGTTGGAATCAAACAGGATGTAATCCTTTCAGCTTCCTAGGTGATTTTTAAAAATTTTTATTATTTTAAAAATTGAATTATAATTGACATATAACATTGTATAAAGTTAAAGTATACGGCATATTGATTTGATACATTTATATTGCAATATGATTGCCATTGTAGCGTTAGCTAACACTGCTGTCTCATCACATAATTATCATTTCATCTAGTCGTAGGAACAATTAGGATCTAGTCTCTTAGCAAGTTTAATGTTTATAATGCAGTTTTCTAGTCTGTAATCACTGTACTGTGTTTTAAATCTCCAGGACTTATTTATCTACTTGTTGCAAGTATATATTACCTAGGTGATTTTAATGAACACTGAGACATGAATAGCCCTGGTCGAGAATTTGGTAAAGGGGGGGTCGTAGATCTGGTGCTCCATATTTCTAAATCTAATGTGGGCAATGGTCTCATTTCCTTTTGACATGTCCATCCATCCATCCATCCATCCATCCATCCAGCTATCCATCCATCCCTGCATGCATCCATCCAACCATCCAATATTTGTCCACGGCCTTCTATAACCAGGCACTGAGTTAGATACTAAGCCAAACCAACACTGTTCCTGCTCTCATGGCTCTCACAGTCCATCACAGGTGACAGACCTTAATCAAGTTGCCATGCATGTGTGTCGATGATTTTGAACTGATACGAGTGCTCTATAGGAAAGGCTTGTGGTGCTGGCTCCTTGAGAGTAGTGGGGAGGCTTCCCAGAGGAAGGGAGGCTCCAGCTGAGATCTGAAGTTGAGGAAGAACCATCTAGGCCAAGGAAGAGGAAAGCTCCAAGCAGAGAGACGAGCTTGTGCAAGGGCCCTGTGGTAGGAAGGAGTATGGTGCTTTCCAAGGACCGAAGTAGTGATGGTGGGACTGAGGAGAAGAGTAGTGCAAGGTGAAGGTGGAGAGGAGGGCAGGGCTGGATAATGTGTGCTGAAAAGATCACTCTGGCTGCAGTGTAGAGGAGGGATGGGAGCAGAGGAGCCAGAAAAATAGAGAAAACAGGGAGGAGGTCTCTGCAGTGTCCAGACAAGAGATGAAATGATGGTGGCTGGGATGGAAAGAAGCTGAGGGGTGGTGGCTGAGAGGATGAAAAGAAGCAGATGGGCATGAGGGATATGACGAGACTGTGTGTGGCCTGGTTATGGGGGAGGGAGAGGAAGGTGTCA